AGATTTATAATTATTTTCACCTTGAGACTAGCTTTAGTAAAGGATTTTTTCCACGATTGAAAACCCTAAGTCAACCTCGATTTAAAGTTTCTATATAGAAGGTTGTTTTCCAAGGTTTTAGATTATGGCAATGTGCGTAGAATAAAGTAGATTGTCGCTGATCTCGTTTTAAGGTTAGAAGGTTTACACGTAAACCGTGTTACAACCCTCTTTAGGTTTACATTAAAAGGTTTTTGCTGAGTGAAAATAAACCTTATTTCGCTATCTGAGATAGTTTTTCTATTTCTCTTACGAAGAAGCCGACCTAATTATGAATTCGCTCATGCCTATCAATGTTCAACTCCTAAGCCTTGTAATTTTAAACCCAACCCAGGAGACAAGGGAGCTCCTGGGTTAAGAATTTGGGCAAACAAGCATTCGTGGAAGCTTTCTTAGTGGAACTAACCTTGATTTGCATTACATGGAAAGGAAAACCCCGAAAACCTCCCATGCCCAACAGCAAGGAATTTTGACCCATAATCTGTTTACCACAGAGGACATTTTACGTCAGCACTGTGATCGGTGCGTGCCAGGTGCAGAATTCATATGTACCAGCTATTGCTAGGATTCGAGCCCGGGTCACCCCATTATGAGTCAAACGCTCGCAGAATATTTTTACATTTTGATTTTTAACGCTTTTTTTTTTCTTTCTTTTATTTTCCTTTTTATAAACGTTTCTTTACAAGACCCATTACAATTTTAAAACTGTCATATGCACCCAATATTTTAAAATTCCGCAATGTTTCTAAAAAATCAAAACACTCATTTTAAAATGTCCAAATGCACGTGAAATGCAATTTTTATTTAATCTACTTGCACATTTTTATTTATTAAACACGGTAGTAAAGTAACAAAATAAGATGATATTGGTATGGTAACATTAGTTTTATAAGCTAACAAAAAAATTAGTTTTGGTGCCAAAATTCCCAAAATTGTTAGCGTCTGTTTTTCCCCTACGTTTGCAATGATAAAAAAGTAAACGTTCAGTAAGTTATATATGTAGGAAAAAACCAAAATTTTTTTTTCTTCTTTCTGATAACATTGTTCTATGGACATCAAGAAATACGTATGATAAAAAAATATAAATAATTTTTAAAAAAAAAATATTTAAACTTTTTTCTTCTATTCAGTTGTGAGACGACTTCTGAGCTTTTAATTGTAAAGAAATCTCCTTATATTTTTGAACGAGTAAGATCTTGTAACTATTTTTCTGAGCTTCAAAGTTTTGATACGTTTTTATCAAACACTCTGAATTTTATTGTTATTTTTAGAAAGTGATAATGGATGTTCTAATTTTAAAATAGATGGTACTATTTTAAGTATGGACTCTCATAGAAATGAGTTGCGTCGTGTAATTATGTTATTAAAAAAATAAAAAATTTTTTTTATAGAAATACCTGTAATTTTTAATGTCTTTTAATTTATTTGTGTTAAACTTTAAAAAAGGGTAGAAAATATTTATGTATTAAAAATATAGGTCAGGTGTAGTAAAGTTGGAATATTAAATTCAAAAGTACCCCATAAAATTGATTAATATGATACCTCATTAAAATTAATATGGTAGAAAATAATTTGTTCTAAAAATTTAGATTTCCCAGTACAAATTCATGACATTAATTTTTTAAATTGGCCCTTGTAAAATTTTATACAGGTTTCAATAAAAAAAATAAAATAAAAACTTTATTAGTGCCATTTTCTGTAATTGTAACTTAAATAAAAAATATTAAAATGTATGACATGATTTTAAACATTGATACTCGTACAAAATATTAATATACTACTTGTAACATTAAAATCATTTAAAGTGAAATAACAAAAAACTATTATTATTGTTTGCAAAGTTTAAGTACAAAATAAAAGCCAAAATGTGAAAGAATTACATTTAAACAATTGTAATTTTGTAATGAAAAACTAATAATCAAAATTTTTTTTTCTCAACATAAATTTTAAAAATAGTTATTGACACACAGTGGTCAGAGTCAAAAAATAAAGTTGACCAAAATTGTAAAAATAAATATTTTTTTTCTTAATCATAATTACTTTTTGATGTCCATAGAACAATACAATCACAAAGGAAAAATTTAGTGTTGGTTTCTTTGTACTGAAATAACAGGCTGAACTATCTTTTGACAACAAAAAAAATATATATATATATATATATATTTCTGTACTTAAATATTGTCTTTCGCAAATGCAATAAATGTAAGTACAATAAAAATCGCATTTTATTTGCTCACATAGATTTTTTAAAAACATGTGTATAAATTTCTTATTTTTCAGAAACATATGAATTTGTTGGTCATGTGCAACAGTTTTAAAACTGTCCTTGTAGAGAAACGTTTATACAATGAAAAACAAAATAATTAGCTGAGCGTATTTGCACCAACAAAAGTTAAACATCAAAATATAAATGCAATATTATACGTATGCTTATGTAATACTTTTGTAGAAAATTTCCTTTGTGTTGGTAAACATTGTTACAATTAACCTACAGGGGGCGTACTTAACTCTGAATGGAAAAACAGCTGACCAAATGGAAAAAAGAAGCTAAAAAACGTTATTTAGAACAATATAATCTCTAGGAAAAAAAATATATAGTTTTTTTTTCTTAACAGGATGGTTTATTATTATTAATAACAATAATATCGAAAATTAAATATAATTAACTTATTTGAAAATTTTAACAACTAAAGATTTTTTCACCTTGTTAAAATATTTTGTTTTATGAATGCAAATATCATTTAATTTGTTTGTTTAGACATTTTTTAAAGCATGTATTTCAATTTCTGATTTTTTAGAAACTTCTTTGAAATCAAAAATTTTCCTCCTGTGGGCAAGGTGTCTCTCTTTGTTTAGATTTTTTCATTTTTTAATTAACTTCAATTTTATTAATCCTGCTCCCGTTCTCCTCAGGTATAACTATCTTGCCGACTTCTAAGGGTGGCAGACGTGTAAGCAGGACAAACAAGCACGTGATTTTAAAAAAAGCAAATTAATTTAATTTAACCATCATAATCATAAAATGAATATCTAGGTGACACATAAATCGAAGTACTCCCAGAAAAAATTTAGGGAAAATCTTAGTTCCATCGATTGAATTTTCATTTCATTAGATTTGTCATAAAAAATATACATGAAACAATGCCTCACTTGACTATATAGCAATATCAAACATGTAAATAGGTATAAGTTCAAAATTGTAATTTTGATACGTAAAAACTTCACTAACTTTTTAACTATTAGTCTCAACAGCTTAAACTTTATCTATTCGATTCAGCATAAAAAAATTTATAGAAAATAATACTTCTTTTTGTCTAGATAACAATATCATGTATGCAAATATGTATAAATACAAAATTTTACTTTTTGTACATAAAATCTTGCTACTAAACTTTAGTTCTATCGAATTTAGTTTGATATCATTCAATTTTACAACAGAAATAATGCCTCACTTTTCTATGTAGTAATGGTATAGTTACTCCTTCACTCTAGAATATGTAAAATAGACATTTTTCTCCATATATTCAATCCCAGATAGTGAAAAATCCTTATGTGACTGAAATCAGTTCATAAAATAAAATAAAAATCAGTCATTAGACTGTAATTGCTTTTCATGACTCAAGTTTTGCAGGCCTGTGTTCTTGTGTAAGAATATTTGTCAATAAAAATAATTAATTAAAACTTGCTTACAAATCATCAGAAAGCAAACAAAAAAATTTTATTATTATTTAAGAGGTAGTATAACAATGTCAGTTATTTTAAATTTTCTTCTATGAATAATCCATTCATACAATTTTGAAAAGACCCACAATAAAGATTAAGAAATATGAAACAGATATTACAAAGAACAGATAAACGGTTAATCAAAACTAGATGTTTCTAGAACCTTTTCTTAAAACAATAAGGTCCTTAAAGCTTTTTGAAGATAAACTTTAAACTTTGGTTCACAAAGAATAGTTGAATTACCAAGTAGAACCCGGACTGGCGCTATCTTAAAATTTCATATATTAACTTTTCTTTTTTGCAAGCATGAGTTAGATTTTTTCTTTTGTATAAGTGATTAAATAAGAGTACCTTCACTGATGCTTGTTAAAATCACAAAAGTGAAGTAACAATGCTGAAGTTTAAAAAAATTTAGTAACTTTTGTTATGGACTGTAACCTTGAAGATAAACTAGTGGTAGATGCAAAATGCATAAGTCAACAATACTAAGTCGTTTTCAGTGACAAAATTTATTTATTTTACTTACTAAAATCAATACACAAATTGTTTTATAATTCATGGGTTATATGAACAATGAATAAATTAAAATAATGAAATTGGGAGTTTAAAAATAGAACTATATACATAAAGAAAAGCAACCTACTCACAAAATGACGAACATTAGACAGTAAATTAGCAAACAATACTTATTACTCTAGGAATTAGGATAAATATAAGTAAATCCTGGTAAAAAGGAATGAGTTGTGGATGAAATGACCATTTCTAAATAAGGGAAAACTAATAGCCACTTTTTAAAATGCAATTTAGCTGTAAATTTCAATTATGATTTAGATATAAGTTAAAATATGTGACACTAGATGAGATACTGTAATTCAAAATATGTGAATAGGTATAAATTATTTTACTCTTTATTTATAATTAAACCATAAATACTAGAATATAATTTTACTCTTTAATACGTATAAAATGCCATTTGCATTCTTATTCCTTTTTTTTTCGATTGCAACAACCCCCATATTTTGAGTATGAAGAAACTGAATTTGTCGAAAAAAAGGTATGTTTATTCAGGCAAAACGTTTTTGTATTCGATTTCATAACTTAAAATACTAACTTGTATTAATTTACATTTACTTCAAATATATATTGAGTAACAACTAAATCTTCAAAACTTGAGTCGATAATATCTTGATGTAGTCGAATATTAAAAAAATTCCAGGCAATAAGAAAAATATTTATAGTAGTTTCCACAATTATGTTTAATAAGCAAGTTAGAAGGAAAGTTGTTCTCATATTAACTACATAAATAAATGCAATTTAACAGAGTAATTCCATGATCAAAATACTGTGAATATGAAACAGTAGAGCAGATAAAGAAAAATATAAAATTAGATAATGTATAAAATTAGAACAGGATTAAAGATTTTGAGCATTAAAAAAATTAAGCATCTGTAATAATTGACCAGAATTTATTTTTCATGAGTCAGTACTAAAATGTTCAGATATTACTTAAAAGGAAAAATAAATGTTTCAACATTCACTCTCTAAAATAATTTTAATAAGGAATGTAAAATAAATTTAACTATTGGAACACATTAAAAAGTGGTTAAAAGTTTAACTTCCATATAATTCAAATTGATAGAACAATTAGTTTCTATGTTTATATTAAAAATATCAGTCAAACATAATGAATAATAGACCATTATTATGAAAATTACTAATAAATGCTTGAGGTCTATTATTGAAACACACACAGTAACAAAAATTTAAAGACCACACAAGACAAACATTTAAGCCACTGTGAGAGTAAAAACAATTTTTAAAATGAAAACTATAAAAAATAGTTAATTAAATAGAAAACTGTCAGTTTGTTATAATGGCTATTAAACATACAAGTTAAATAAATAAAAATTCAAATGGGAAGTATGTAAAATGAATTTAATTTCTATCAAGAGGCACAGCAGTATTTGGATATGCACAATGATGAAATTGAATCATAAGGCAATGTGGATGACATGGCCCCTTTATAAATTTACTGCTCTAACCTCCTTGAGTATCTTAAGTATAATTTTAAAGTAATGATACATTCATACAAAGTCTCTACTTACAATATTTATCGAGCTAATGTAAATGAAAGTACGTTTAATTTTTATCTAAACATACAACAGAATGGCATAGTGATGCATACTTATTCATTTAAAGTAGAAAAAAATATTTGCAAAGTAAAATTACTATGGTAAACAAATATGTATATATATATTTGCTGATAAAGTTAAAAATTTGTTCAAATTTAATAAGAGATCGAAATTTGTAAACCTTAGTCAGGACACAATAGAGGGCAAATAGAGTGATAGATTTTATATTCTAAAGTCTACAAAAAAATTAAACAGAAAACTAATTTAGGGTGTTGATCTTGCAGGAAAGTACAAGACCATATAAAATTTCAAATGATTACCTCTTTGCTTATACATCATGTAAAAATTTGGTTGTTAACATGATTCTCATCCTGAAACCTCAGAAAAGAGCAATCACCTTCGTCCTAATTTCTTTTAGAGATATTAATTATAAAGATAATATCTCTAAAATACAGAGAAAAAAAATAAAGAGATAAAATGTATAATAACTCCTCTTCCAATCTGTAAATTGATATTTTGTCAAAATTTGCACAATAGCACCAAAGAAAAATTAAGAGAATTAGAAGCACTGTTAAACGATAGATGCATGTTTAAAAAAAAAAGGAAAGGAGAAACAATGGCTACACAAAATAGTTTGATGTCGACAAGTCTGAGAAAAATATTATACAGGATATATTTAGACGAAAATTAAATAAGTAAAAATAAATATTTCATTTATACATCAAAATTTTGCGGAAGTAACTTACCAAAGTTGAATAATTCATAAACAGAAGATTAAAAACCAAAGAACTACAGAATAGCTAAAACATTTTGAAAGATAGTAGAACAAAGATTCTAAAATGACCCCTAAAATTTAACCAATTGTAAGCATATTATTATAAGGATATTTGGAGAGTAATCCTTTTTCAGGATCAACACCAGCATATAGACATGTGCTTACAAAGGTAAAAATACGTTTAAACATATCAACTGATGAATCCTTAGGATAGCAATATTCAACCAATTTTTTGAGTTGGTCTGAAAAACAAAACATTCACTTTTTTACATGTCTATCTGACATCACGCAACTGAATTATGACTAGACAATTGCTATAATTCATAGTGTTAAAGGAGAAAATAATATGTAATATGTAAGTAAGAAATCTAATAACTAACATATTTATAGATATTTACCAATTTTATAGCATCTTCCCAAGGTAATCATTATTCAATATCCACAAGAAAGCATATGTATCTAATTAATTCCTCAAACTTTGATTCTTTCCTAAGAGTCTTTAAAATTTTCTTTTTATATTCCAGTTTTCAAGGACTTGTTTTTGTTTTAACCAACATTTATGAACATGTAGTGACCAATCAATTAACTATGATGTCATGAAGCTTTAGTTGCTAAATGGCAATGTCAAAATGAAAACAGTTCATATGTCAGCCACAAGCTAAAATGTAGCTCGTTGTTAATAAATATAACATTACTCATTTGAACATGTTCTTTTAATTTTACAGTCCTGAGGACTGATCAATTAAACATTATGTTAGAAATTAGATTACAGCTCAACACTTTTAGCAGAAATTTTTTTTTTTTCCATCTTGCACAGAAAATTTACTGACTTAGCAATTTTTGTGAGCATTCTTAAAGAGTATTTTAAAAAAAATTACTTATTTACATAAGATAAGAAAAAAATACTAAAAAAAAAATAAATATATCTAAATAAAATCATATAAATGAATAACAGATGTGAGTCAAATGTTATATCAAAATTGCACAGAGAATTCATTTTTGCAATTCAAAAATATACCCTTTCACCTTTTTTTAAATTAAGAAAAAAAAAGGTAAAAATATTCATCAATATTTTTACAAACAGATACTACAGGTTTCCAATGTTTTATAAATAGGGTAAAGTAATAGCAGTTCATTTCCCCACTGATGATCAATCAATCATTTTCACAGAAATATCTGACAAAAAGGCAGTATAAAACAATAAACACTGAATGAATAACAAAAAAAAAAAAAGATATAACAAATAAATACTACCATTCTGATAAAGGTGATTGAAAAAAAGTAAGCTGTTAAAAAGAGCTTTGCCATCAATGTTATAAATAATGTCCATAGCAAAATATGTGTCAATACTTGAAATAAGTTTAGTAAAAGTGCATTTCAGCTTTTAAATAAAATATACTTTGATCCAATTTCTTTTTAAATTGGAATTAAGTGATCTAAAAAACCAGTCATGTCAAGAAATGCATGTCTTATTTTTTAAATTAATATAATTGGTTTTTAATAATTAAAATCACCTAAATAAATGCCAAATGTTGATTGTGATTTTAAATGCAGTTCACATATGAATACAATCGATGGCAATGGATTCAAGAAGATATTGAATGAGTTTTCCAATTTTCGGCTGCTTCCAACAGATTGGTGAAAACATATCAACGAAACAAAACTGGATTCATTCTTAAAACTGGGTATGCACCCAGATGATTAAAACTGGTTTGAGGAAAATTAGTGAACTGAAGATGTAGCAGCAATAAACAGTATTCCATTCAAATTTAGATGGTATGAAGAATTTAACCTTCCTGGAGAATATTTGACAAATTTGTTGGTAGCATATAATTTTCTACGAGGATAAAAAAAATATTGGTTTGTAATACGAAAAGAGCAGACAAGGAGAGATTTGCAAAAAAAATAAATAAATAAATAAATAAACTAATATTCAGAAGGTTAACTTACACTTTTTAGGTGTGATCAAATAGGTAGTAGCTATCTTCAATAAAACTGAATTGGTAACTAGTAAATAGCATGCTTAAACTACTTTGAAAAACAATTATTTGATAAGTACATCTATTTAAGCAAATTGTAGACATGCATATAAACAGGCAGGTGTGCCTTATTTTTTCAACCTTAAGGTGTATGTATGTATGTACATATATATACACACATACTTACCTTTAAGTGTCTGTATACAAACACACCACATATATGTATTTGAATATATATACCTTAACACTGATGTAAAACTGTCAGATATTATAAAAAACTTTTGACAATAACACTAAGAATGAATTATACAAGGTCAGTATATAAAATAATATACTATTGAGATTATTAGAAAAGCTAAGTTTAAGAAATTAGTCTAGTAGACATAGATCAGATGTCAAGACTTTACACAAAAGCAGTTAGAAAATATAAAACAGCCACATAATTACATCATCACAGATAAAATTGAATATAATTCATCGATTGTTATTTCATTATTAAATGCTCAAGTAAATTGCTACATACTTGTATAGAATTGAATGGCTTAATCACTAGAACATTAAGGCGGATAGAAATTCCTATCAAATAAACTAAGAGCTCTTAAATTCCACACACTGTAATCATCACATTAAAAATATGTTGAATTAACAGGCATGAAATACTTTTTAATGGAAATAAAAACTGAAGGGAATAAAAGTTCACTTCATTTCAGTGTTTCATTATTTTTGTTACTGGAGTAAACAGCCAATTACTTTAACTGTTACTACTGTCTTGTTTCTACAAGCTTTCTTTTAACCATTGAGATCATAGTGAGGAATCAAGATATTCCTGCTGTACTGTGGCACACCCCATTCATATCTAGGGCGTGGAGGTAGTTGTCAGTAAGCTAAGGATGCTTCTTTATATTCAGACCCTTCCATAGTAAAGAAATCCTCCAGTTTCCACTGCAGTGTTTCAAATGTTGGGCGTTTCATTGGATCTTTATGCCAGCATTCTAGCATAATTTCATATAGTGCAGGAGGGCATCCAGGCGGACATGGCATTCTGTAGCCATGCTCAACTTGATGCAACACTTCAGCATTTGTCATACCTAAAAAGTTCAAATAAAGAAAATTGTCACTTCTTTTAAACACTAGTAATGAATGTGGCATAAAAAACTTTAAAAGCTACCCAAGGAATAAGGCAAAAACTAAAGACCAACAAATTAAGCAAACAAAGTTAAGATATCCTTATCATTAATACAATTATATTAATAAAACAGGTCTCAGTTCATCAAATGTTTAATCATTTACGCCTTAACTGTTTTTTAGATCAAATATTCTTAATGTGGATAAAATAAGAAATTGTTTTTTTAATATTTGTATACTACTTAGAGGAGAAAACAAGTTGATGGTGCTTAACACAAGGCACATCAAACACAAGGCATGTCATACTCAACAAATCAGAAAGTGCAGGACACTACCTGCACCAAAGCATAGTGCATAAAGTAGAAATAAAATAATTAGAAAAATGTTTTAATTCAAAATATTAAATTTACTTTCGTTTCATTATAAAACTTTAATTCCTCTTCAATTTTTTTAAAAATGATAAATTTTAAATATTTATACATTTTTTAACAATATATACTAAAATCTTTTTTTTTTTAATGAAATTATTTTAAATAAAATAATTCAACTGAACCACCAGTTTAGATTTAATCATAACATGGTGTTTATTTTTTTAAAAACAAAAGTCAAAACATTTTTGAAACAGTCTACACATACCAAACTACTTTTAAATATAGCAAATAACTAAAAAAAGACAGGGATGGCAAACTTCACAAGTCCAACAAAAGTCCCCTCAGAAGAAATATGTCTTTTCATATCATATCCATGTAAATAACTCTTTTTCAAAATTAAACAATTATTATTTTTATAATTAAATTGTAAGAAATAAATATAAAAATTAAAACATTTTTTTAAAAACAGTTTATGATTGAAATCTAGTATAAATAATAATTCTAAAGGTATTTAATATATCACTTCTAAATAAGTCTAAAAAACAAAAATTAAAAAGAAAAATAAATTTAACAAATTTCTTAAAAAATTAAAATTGCAATTTTTTAAATATTTTATGTGAATTAGTATAACAAAATCTAATGTTTTAATTGTATAAAAAAAGTTCAATTCTTTAAAACTGCTAAATTGACAGTTGACATACTAAACACATACACTACTACAAATCGAGTATTGAATTCATAATAGCATCATAATTTTTACAACTAAATGATGTCAAAAATTTGAAAAATTGTAATTTTTTGATACAAAAAAACTATTAAATTTTTGATACAGGAACCAATAGTTTGGCAGCATCTATAAACTGGCACAAGCTACAATTTTAGAAAACTTTTGAATTGTCAGTTTGTGCACTTAGTTCATCAAAATATCCTTCCTTAGTAGTAATTTTTGATAGATATGCCATGGCTTATTTTTTACTTAAAACTTAAAAAACATGTGTGGTGTACGCTGCAATTTATCTAGTGATTTCATTTTTTCGTGGACTTATGACAATTCACCAATCAACATGGATTTAATAAAAAATAAATGTTAACAAAAGATATTCTAAGATACCGGACTAATACTAATTTGCTCAGAAAATTGTATATTCAGGGTAGCCACAGAAAAAAATGAACAAAATAGTTGCATTTAGTAGCCGAAAACTATGAAAATAGTTGCCTAAATAAGAACTAAAATTCAGCAAAAACAAGACTAAAATGTTATTAAATGACTTAATTGTCATATACCATGATCCATTTAGTCAAGTTGGTGGCAAATATGATAATTTTTATATAAATGTCAGTGTTCTAGCGCTAAATTTTTATATATAAAAAAAATCAGCATATTTGCAGAAAATTAAATACTTTTAATTACTAGAATTCAAAGAGTACTTTTTCATTAAAAAAAAAAAAAACACTTTTTCTAAGAAATTTTCCCTTTTATCAATAATTGAAACTGATTTACAAATATATTTATATATATATTGTGAAAAGTGATTACGCAGATTCAAAATTCATGCATTGTAATATCGTATTAAAAATTAGGTTTTTTAAAATCATGCAGAATTTCAAAGCAATAACTGTTAAAAAGGCGATCAAGAAACGAAAGACTTACGATAGAATCTGTGCAAATTGAACGCATTAAAAAGTGATGACTCAAATTTGTAATCTAAATTTTTTTATTATTTTTTAATTTTTAAGAAAAGAAATTCAGTGTGTTCAGAAGAATTTGCGGGTCGTATGTTTTCAATCCAGTTTATGCTAAAAAAAATTGCTAGGAGTACAGAAAAGTCTCCTTTTCCTGAAAATAGTCGCTTTTTTAGCCTTTTCAAGAAAAAAAAGTTGCCATAGTCGTCTCATGCTGAAAATAGTTGCATTTTAGTCGCCTGTGGCAACCCTGTATATTTTACTCATTCTCAACTATTATTTTTTTAAAAAAAAATATGGCAGGGTAAAAGAAGTGCTTGATTGATGATAGACTGAACAAATGTGTAACTAATTCCAATTTACAAAATGAGAATAATAACATGCCTGTCTGCATTCTGAGGATTCCGGAGAAATGTTTTTTTTTGGTTAAAACAATCTCACAAAGCAAAAAAACATGAAGCCCGAGTGGAAATTCAAATTTACATCTGCAAGAGACAGTTCTCGGGAATGTATAGGTGGGTGGAGGTTTGTGAAGAAGAGCAAATAAGAAGGAGAAAAAAATTTCTTGCCACGCCTATTGATGAGGTCATCCCATGATCAGCTCATGGTATTTTACTCCAAACTCTCCTCTGTTCGACTACACCCAGTTAGCAGTTTCAACTTTCTTTTTACACCATGATATTTATGAGTCTAATATTGAACAGGAGATTTTGAGTTGACGCATTTTATGATTGAAAGTTTTTTAGTTCATTTTCATTTGCATAGCCGCCAACTCCCGGAAGATTTTATTTTCCTATTTAAAGTGCTAGAGTATTTTGAATTATAATAATTTTGAATTATAACTTTTTGAATTATAATAATTTTAAATGAGTTTGACCACCACTACATATAAAAAATTACAACAAATATATAAAAGCATATTAGTCCATACGATAGCGAATTTCAACTTGATTAAAATATAAATATATTTTTGAGGAAGATAGTTTTTCGGTAATTGTTTTACTACCACTTGAAAAATCCATTCTCGAAAAGAGTGAATGTTGGCAGGTATGCATTTGTGATATGCCACTGCCAAAATTATTTTCTTTCTTTTTGTGCTTAAATTCACAAATAAATAAAATAGCCAAAGGACAGATCGAAGAATGGATGGATGTAGATGCCAATGAACCTTTTGTTCCTCATTTTACAAAGGATAAATTTATTTTCATCCGTGCGAAACTAAAATGATGGTGGCAAAGTATCAGATTCTGAAACACCACTAAAAAATACAATGGATGAATACATAAGGCTCGCTCAGCAGTTTTCAAAGATTTAGAAAAATAAAAATTTCTGAGGAGGGACAAAGGGACAATCAACCAAAAAAAAAAAAAATAAAATAAAAAGAATGACACTGACTAATACTTTAAATAAAATATGCAGTGATTTTTTCGCACACTTATACATTAGCCATTAATTTCTTACTTTTACATTTCCATATCTTGGCCTTTTTTGACCTTTCCAAACTTCATTCATAATCCGGAAAAATTGGTAATTCGAAAACGAGTAAATCCCATCGATATTGGATTATCGATGCTTTCCAGTACTATATTAAATTTGATTTGTTCAAATTTTAGCTATAATATTTATTGCTAAATAATCAAAATACTTATTGCTAAATAATTGTATTGGTCCTTTTTAGTTTAGTCTTTTCAATTGCATCAGCTTTTTTCCACATTCTTCCAGTGTTGTGGAAGAAATGCGTTTTTTTCCCCTTCAAAGTACCAACCTTGACTGGGAAATTTTATTGCAAAAGAATATAATATTTTCAATTCAGAAATATTTTGTTCAGAATAGAAAGTTTTCCCAGTTACTAGTATGATTTTAAGAATGAAGCACTGAAAAACTCATTATAGTTTGAAATCAACATACAGAAAATTTTTATAGTCCTAATGCATTAAAAATTGTCCAGTTTCAATTAATTCTTTTATAAAAATATTTAATTAAAATTTGTACGCTAGTAAGACATACTTAATCGAACAATGTTAATTTAATAGATTACCATTGATTCACAATTAAAAAGAATTCTATAATATGATTGAAATCTATGTTTTTTAAAATTAGATGGAAGGGGCAAATCAATTATTGTAAAACTGCAAAATTCCACCATATAAGATTTGTTACTACATTTGCTAAAAATAATAAAAAAACATGTGACCCTTGAATTCCTCCCCTATAAAATTTGATTATGTAAAATACCCGAATTTGCAAAAATGTTTAAAGCACTGGATCATACAGGTAGGGTTATATGTTAAACCATTATTATTGAATGGTCTCTAAGTTTGAACTATCAAATTTTGTTATTTTTAAGAGCATTATTAAAATAAAAAGTTCCAGCATTAAATATATAAATTGTTTGATACTTGATATTGATTACTTGATCTAATTTGATTAATCTGTATTTGAATTAGTAAAAAAATAGGATGTTTAAAACAAACAAAATTGAGGACTAATAAAGAATACATTTTTATCAGGAAAATCTGGAAATAGAAAAAAATTCTTTCATATAAATTGATTCATTTTAAACTTTTAGCAAAGAACAAATTTATACAATCATATTATAATATTCTACTGAATCCTAAGTTGAATAATTATGTAATAATCAGTGAGTTAACTCTTATTACAGTTTACTTGATGTTATCTTCAGCATACAAATTTTAAATAAGAAATGTTAACTTGCTATTTTAACTTACTAATGTTAACTATTCTGAAAAACAATTTCGAAGGAAAAAAAAAAACCAACATAGTTTTGATTGAATGAAGATAATACCTATAGTTAAGAATAGAAATGCCATAATTAGCTGCAACATATTTTATTAGAGTATTAAAATAAAGTTTTTATATTTTGGTTGACTGTAATTATAAAAAAAGTTTGGTTTAAATTAAAAAAAAAAAAAATGCTTTTTTACACTCATAAAAATTACCTTAACTTCATTGATAAAGATAACTTACCAGGATAAGGAATTCTTCCATAAGTTACCAATTCAGTAAGCATAATACCAAAACTCCAGACATCAGACTTTATTGAAAATTTACTATAATTTGCTGCTTCAGGTGCAGTCCATTTGATTGGAAATCTTGCCCCAACTCTAGCTTCATATTCATCCTCCTAAAGTAACATAATTTCTATTAGTATATCATATCAAAAATAGGAATACTAATTATCATTTTTAACCAACCAAAAATTTAGTTTGTTTTTAGAAAGGACTCTGATAGAAGTTTTATAACATAATTACTTTAATAGGCTATTTTATAAGTACTTCAATAGACAAATTATTAGTTGGGATAATAAGTTGGGATTTAGGCAGAGTATGAATAGCTGAAGTTTGTCCCTTCCCCCAAAATGAACTTTAATGTTGCCATTTTAAATTTTTTGATGAGGGAATTGAACTAAAAAATTGATATCTAGACAAGTGAGGTATTATTTCGCATGTATTTCTCTATGTTTCATGAATCAAATGAAACTAAACACAGGTCTACAAAACTAAGAGGATAGAAGTTATTAGGGTTTTATGCAGAATGAGTACAAATTTTGATGTCTGTCATTATTTAGGCATATCAAAAAATTTTCTTATGCTGAATTGAATATAACTTAAACAAATTTGGTAAGACTAATACCGTATATAATAGGGTATAAGGTGACCATTGAAAAAGTTTACCCGTGGCATAAGTTGATCCCCTAGTTTTGACTAAGTGTTTGCAAATTTTTGGCACGTCTGTCATATAAGTCAACTGCCTAAAACACAATGTAATTCTTATCATTGAAATATTTAAACATAACAAAGTTTTTCTGCTTTTCAGTCTCGAAGTAATTTTATAGTTTGAACTGAACTAATCAAAAATTAGAAAATATTCGTTCAAGTCCAGCTATCAAAAGAGAAGGAATGAATGATTAAATAATTAGAAAAAATATTTTGGTTTTTAACTGATATTCTAAATTATTATTTTCTGCCAATTTAGGGGTTCACTATTCTAAACTTTATTTTTTAACCCAGATTCTTTTAACAAAATGTACGTACAGTAGATGGAGACATGCTCATAGTAAAAATTTTAAAATTAAATGGCGGATATTTTGTTTTAGTCTTTTCAAATACTCATTACTGACATTTTTTTAATCGAAGAACTTCTACATTTTTTATCTAAAAATATATCATAATCATTTTGAAATATAGGACTGCTAACATATACATCCATTGATGTACAGTAGAGAACCAATTATCCGGGATGCTCGGGACCGTCGCTATCCTGAATGTCTGAATTTCCCGGATCGACGAAAAAGGGACGTTAATCAATATTTTATTGAACTCGAATTACAAGGAAAACGTGTAACGCATAAAGTAATAGAAAAAAGAAAGGCACTCCTAAATTTAAAAAGAAAAAAACAAGAGACAACACAGTAGAGAACCAATTATCCGGATGCTCGGGACCATCGCTATCCCGAATGTCTGAATTTCCCGGTTTTCCGGATCGACGAAAAAGGGACGTTAATCAATATTTTATTGAACTCGAATTGCAAGGAAAAAGCGTACCGCATAAAGTAAGAGAAAAAAGAAAGGCACTCCTAAATTTAAAAAGAAAAAAAAATGGTAGAAAAATAACATTTAAAAGAATAAAAAAAAATTGCAAGATTAGACAAGAAAAACAAGTTTAAAAATTACAAAATTCCATATTTAATTTTTAAAAATAATTAAAATTCCTAAATTAACTAATATAAACAAAACCAATGACTAAATAACGCAATATAATTCACACCTAATTATAGGGGGGGGGGAAACGATAATAAAATAAAAGGAAAACTTATTAATTTAAATAAAAACACCTGAAAATTATTGAATCAAAACGATAGTTAAAAAGGGCACTAGCATAAATATTAAAACCCGGGACAAAGCAAGATCAACGGAATTTTAAAAAAAAACCTAATGACAAAATTTATGTATAAAAAGAATTTATTTATTGAGTGTGAAATTTATCATGAAAAGAAAAAAAAATCAAACGTAGTGGAATCAGAAAAACAAAACTGCAATCTGTTTCATAAAATAATCCTATGTCTAAATTACTAAACAATTCTTTTTTTTGTTGTTGTTGATAAAACATGGTTTTTAATTACAGCAGATGTGATTCCACATCAAGAAAAACTTGCAAATGATACCGCACCTCCAAAGAATCAGAATTTATTCAAAAGAAAAAGATTTTATTTTTATTAATCGATGTCAAATAGATAACATATTTTTCTCGTTCATCTTCTGTTCACTGATATGCATGCAATGCAATTTACCCACCTCTCTCGTAAATCAAACAGAAAACGAAATCAGCATGCCACACCCTTGAGTTTGATTGACGGCCTAAAGGAGAAAATAAAACATTCCTCTCTTCCCTGCCTCCTCTCGATTTTCAAGGTCACGAAGGAAATGATTTTTCTTGGGTAAACGGGGAAAAAAATTCTCCACTTCCTTATATTTTCCTCTACTCAACTTCAAGGATGAGTCCAATTTCAGCTTTTTTTTCATAATCGTTCTAGTTTAAAATGACGGGAAAACCGAGCAAAAATTTTTCACGGTTTTCTGGATACCGGATAAATGGTTCTCTACTGTATTTTAGAGCCCTGCAAGCTATACAATCTAAATAAATTATACAATGAGTGCAATGTGAACGCATATAACACAAAGTTTTATAGATAAATAATTTACCATCATTTAGCAATATATATATATATATTAATTGTGTACTTTATTCTTTCATATATTTGTATTTTTCCCCCATTTTTAGCGAAATTCTGATTACTGCAATGTAAATTGTTACGATTTAGTATAAAAGTTACAAAGTTAAATTTATAAAACATTAAGATGATAATTTGAAACAAAAATTATTGGAAATGATATAATGTGAAAAAAAAACTCCATTTGGTGGGCATAAAGATGTGAGAAGTTTTCAAGTGGGACCACCTTGACGAAACCTGTTGAAATATGATACTGAATCATGTAAACACTAAAATAAGCTTCATATTGAATTGTGAAAAGATTATACACTGGTTATCATAAATTAAGGAAAATTCACAAAAATCGCGATAACTCAAGAAATTACACATGGAATTTTATGAAACTTACCCACAATATACAACACATAGTAAGGTATTAAACAACATAAAAAGAAATTATCAGACATTAATAGTAGTATAGAAATTAGCACATGTATAAAATAAACAAATTGGAAGTATCGGTTTGCAATAGAAAAAGTACCTTTAATATGGAATATGATTGCCTCTAGAAGCAATACAGCACAAACAGCGATGTGTGATGCTTTCAATTATGCGGTCTATCAGTTCAATAGGAAGTGAGAGCCATTGCTCTTGTAAAGCAGTTGCAAGCGTGGCAAGGGTCTGAGGGGGCGGATTGATGGCAGATACACGCCTCCCTAGAGCATCCCAAACGTGCTCGATAGGATTCAAGTCCGGGGATCGAGCTGGCCACTCCATGCGAGTAATTGTTTCCTGTTGAAGATAATCATCAACAATGCGAGCTCTGTGTGGTCTTGCATTATCGTCCTGTAACAGGAAGCAATCACCAATTGCCCCGGCATATGGGCGCACATAAGCATCAAGGATGTTGTCTCGATAAACCTGAGCATTCACGGTTCCCCTTGGAAAGACATGGAGGTATGTGCGCCCTCCTAAGGATATGCCTCCCCAAACACAGACACTGCCTCTTCCGTATGCATCTCTTTCACGGATGTTTGATGGATGATAACGGGTCCCAGGTTCTCTCCATATCAAATAACGTCTACTGTCACTTTCTAGACTAAACCTGGACTCATCCGTAAAGAGAACAGGCCTCCATTGATCTGACGTCCAGTGGACATGTTGTCGGGCCCACTGCAAACGGTCTCTCCTATGGCGTGATGTGAGCGGCACGCAAATGGCTGGTCGTCTCGCATACAGACCACCTTCGTGGAGCCTTCTGCGCACAGTTGACGTTGACACCAACCTTCCGGTGGCTGCAGCAAGAGAGGATCTAAGATGTGTCGGAGTAGCGGTTCTATTCCTGCGTGCACTTAATGTCAAATATCGGTCATCGGCACTGGTCGTAACAGTTGGCCGTCCTTGACTGAACCTCCTAGATGCCGAATCTGTGGTTTGAAATTGCCTCCAAAGTCTATGAACCACAGATGGACTCACATTTAGCCATCTGGCCACTTCTGATTGACTCTGCCCTGCCTCTAGTCTCCCGATGGCTCTCCATCGTAGTTCTTCAGGCAAATGATGCCTAGAGGTCATTATTACGAATTGGCTATCTCAGATTTTCAATGTCGCAATCACAGTAAAATTTGTGTGCTTTCTCTCAAACTTGGACTTTTATGCTCCAGGCAGATGACGTAAGCCGAGTGCAGCGCCACTAATTTGCATATTGCAATTTTACTCAGCTACTCTTAGTGGACAACATATGCAAATTTTGCACGGTTTGGCTTACTTTTGAAAGAGTTATCGCTATTTTTGTGATTTTTCCTTAATTTATGATAACCAGTGTATATTAAATAGTGTAGATAAGATAAGACATCGAAATGAATTAATGACATACACATTTATATCAGAACTGAGTAAAAAGAAGAAAAAAAACTACAATAAACATACGACTGTATATTAAATTGAATTCCAAAAATGCTAAAAGTGAGAAGAATAAATTATCATTCTAAATTTAGAGCAACATATAAGAAAAAAATTACGTAGACAAAATAATTAAATACATTTAGTTCAGCTGCTACATATCAAGACCTAAGTGTTTAAGTCTGTAATTTCAGATATTCAGTTTTATAATTTTGTAATCTTATGTAATTTTAACAAATACACTGAAGAGCCAAAAAAACTGGTATACCTGCCTAATATCTTGTAGGGCCCCCGCGAGCACATAGAAGTGCCGCAACACGACATGGCATGGATTCGATCAAAGTGTAAAGTAGTGCTGGAGATAATTGACACCATGAATTCTGCAGGGCTGTCCATAAGCCAGAGGGAGTAAGAGGGGGTGGGGATATCTTCTGAACATCACGTCGCAAGGCACCCCAAATATGTTCATGTTCGGGGATTTTGGTGGCCAGCGGAAGTGTCTAAATACAGAAGAGTGCTCTTGGATCCACTCTGTAGTAATTCTGGACGTGTGGGGTGTCGCATTGTCCTGCTGAAATTGCCCAAGTCCGTCAGAATGCACAATGGGCATGAATGGGTGCAGATGATCAGACAAGATTCTTACGTACCCGTCACCTGTCAGATTCTTATCTAAACGTATCAGGGGTCCCATATCACGCCAACTGCAAACACCCCATACCATCACAGAGCCTCCACTAGCTTGAACAGTCCCCTGTTGACATGTAGGGTCCATGGATTCATGAGGTTGTCTCCATACCCGTACACATCCATCAGCTCGATACAACTGGAAACAAGACTCGTCAGACCAAGCAACGTTTTTCCAATCGTCAACAGTCCAGTGTCTGTATTGACTGGCCCAGGCAAAGTGTAAAGCTTTGGCTCGTGAAGTCAACAAGGGTACACGTGTGGGCCTTCAGCTCCAAAAGCCCATATCGATGATGTTTATTTGAATAGTTTGCACGCTGACACTTGTTGATGGCCCAGCATTGAAATCTGTTGCAATTTGTGGAAGGGTTGCACGTCTGTCACACTTAATGATTCTCGTCAATCGTCGTTGATCCTGTTCTTGCATGATCTTTTTCCAACAGCAGCGATGTCGTAGATTTGATGTTTTACCGGATTTCCGATACTCGCGGTATACTCGTGAAATGGTCGTACGTGAAAATCCGAATTTCATTGCTATCTCGGAGATGCTATGTCCCATCTCCCGTGCGCCAACTATAACACCACATTCAAACTCACTTAAATCTGTATAACCTGGCACTGTAGCAGCAGTAACCGATCTAAGAACTGTGCTAGACACTCGTTGTATTATATACATGTTGCCGATTTCAGCGTTGTACTTTGATTGGCTCCATACCCCTTTATTTGCATACTCATGCCTATACCAGTTTTTTTTTGCTCTTCAGTGTAGTTTTATGATATTGAGAAGTGCATATTTCTTGAAATTTAAATTTAGAATTATCTCTTCATACCATTTGAATAAAAGTTACACAGAAATAAAAAATAAAACTTATTTCTATACATTTATATTAAAATTGTATCCATTTTTCCTGATTAAGGAATTACTTATAATGGTGACACAGAAAAGACCACACCAATCTAACTTTGTATAACTTTACAGTAGGTGTTTAGCCTTAATGCTTTATAAAGAAATTGACTACCAGCTTGAAGCTTCTCTCAATACACATCCTCATTAACATACTTTTTTAGCAACTAAAAATCCTGTATAACATGCATGTATTCTAAATATAAAGTAAACTCCCAGTTCCACTGCAAGACGTTTTTTTTTTTTAAAAAATGAAAAAAATCTTTAACTGTTAAAGACTGCTTAAGTAATGAAATAAAATTACGACATATTACCTTTATTAGTCTAGCAAGTCCAAAATCAGCAATTTTTACCACATTCCCATCACCAACTAATATATTTCTAGCAGCAAGATCTCTATGGATGTAATTTTGAGACTCCAGATATGCCATACCAGCAGCAATTTGTGCAGACATGTCAATTAATTGCGGCAATTTCAGAGGTCGTCCACGACCTAAAATATTTCGATTTAATCCTTACTTTAAAAATATGCAAGATATAAATAACTAAAATTAAAACAAAGAGCAAACTAAATTAATATTTACCATAATTCAAGGACAAATAATATAAAAACATCAATAACTAATATAATTTAAATGTTCAAACTACCTTGCAAATATTCCAACAAACTGCCATTTTTCATCAATTCAGTTATTATATAAATAGGTTCTTCCAGAGTGCAAACAGCATATAACTGCACCAACTTTGGATGACGCAGTTTTTTCATTATCTGGGCTTCTGCTAAGAAATCTTTTGGATCCATTGTTCCTGTAATTAGAAAAATTTATAAAAGTATTAGATAATTATTAATTATAGAAGAGACTCTGACCTTAAGTACAATTTTCATATTAAGATAAATGTTTCTGACATAAGTTTTCAGACATACACTAGAACTTTAGCATACAATTTAACCTCAATACCAGAATTAAACTAAAAAGGTAGGAAAAAATGCAAGGATCAAGAAAAAAGGAGGTACAAAAATTTTTAAAGACAAAAATTATCTCTTAAGTTTAGCGTAAAAAAAGAAATCCATCAACAAATCAAACAGCATGAGAGAGAAATAAATTCTATTATAATTTATCCTCACAATCCTTTTCTAACATTCATTAAATATAGAATTATTGGTCAGCAGAAATTACTTTTTAAAATTTATTCATTTCACAAAGATAACATTTTTGTTCCGAAATACCAATTTCATTTATTGCTATTAAGATTCGAGATATATCTAGATTGAGCTATAACTAGTGTTACTATTAGTACTTCTTACATAAACAATAACTACAATCAGTCACTGAAGTTAGTATGCACCTGCTTTAAATACCTATGAGAATATTATCTCATTACAGTATCTATGGAAAATATTGCAATCAAAATTATGAACATAACTTTATTTTAATGCAATATTTGTTATGCTGAAATTTATGGTAAAAATTATATGCCTAGTTTCTTTTTGAATAACAGAAAACATTTTACCTCCGTCTGACAATAAATGTCTTTGCAAGCTAGTAAGAATACATTACACATTGAATGAAATTAACTATTTTTTTGTTTTGTTTTACATAATAACAATTACATTCAAGTAACTCATTCAAGAAAACAAATATTTTTAAAATTGATATTATTCAATTGTTCTTGGTGGAATATAATGCAGAAGCATAATGACTGGCTGCAATAATAATATTCAATAAAAATCCTAAAAACAAGCACTATTACAAATTTTTAATAGAATTGTGCTAAAAATTATATCAAATGTAACAGCTTTAATCACCTGTTTTTAGAGTCTTAATAGCAACTGGAGTAGTATTATTCCACAAGCCTTCCCACACTTCACCAAACTGCCCTTGGCCAAGTTTTCGAACAAATTTCAGAGAGCTCCGATCAATTTCCCATTGATCCCTTGTGTTATGTGACAAACCACCAGTTGTTGGCTTTTCCACCTGAAAACAAAATGAATCATTAGCTACATAACATTAAACTGAACACAAAAATGTTATCTGTGTAGGCAGTAGAAAAACTTATTTCTACATTATAAAGAAGTCTTTTTACTAAGAAATAATCTAAAAATGTCTTTATATATTATATCACATGAAAAACTGATTAAATAATAATTCACATTTTGCAAATAATATTAAAGCCCAAGCTGATTTACCAGGAGATGCTTCTCTAATTACGGTACTACTATATGTTTTCATTACATTGCAACACAAGCGTTTTTAACAAAATTTTAAATTAAAAAAAACAAAAACAATTAAGCTAATTTAATAATGGAAAATGTATAAAAGTATACAAAGATTTACAACTTAAAACCATGTTTTTTCATCTATTAATTTAAAAAATTAAGAAAATTATTTTGTGAACCAGAATATATATATATTAGAATTGATTTGTTGTACATCTGCACCTGATGTATGGCATCTTCCACGTATCAAAAATAGAATAAAACATTGAAACTTAATTAAATTCAAAGTTCACTTGTACTACGGTCATTTTTTAACACAAAACATGCATTTTATAAATAACAAATGTTATTCCATGGGCAACTGTTATAAGCCTGCACCTGATGTCAAAATTGGAATGAAATATTATATTACTGTGTGTCAAATTTTCAACAAATTCGAATTTTAACTGTTATACAGCCAATTTTAAACAATAAAAAACATACATTTCATAAATAAAAAATAGTAGAACTACATCGAATGTTCCCCCCTCCCCCCCCAGGCAACAGTTTCATTATACGCCTGCAGCAAATTTATGTAGCAAATTATAGCAATTCATAAACACAAAAATATTATTTTTCAAAGTTGAACATGTTTTGGTATACCTCTTTTGCAAGTTTTATAAAAATATAGCTATATATAAACACAAAACTATTATTTAACTATTATTAAACAGGTTATAAAACTATTATTAAACAGGCATCTAAACAGATTTGTCAATCTATTTTTGGCAGTTATAATTATGAATTTTCATGCTATTTTTATAGTCTCGATGTTTTAATACAACATTCTAATGAACATCGAACTTTGAATCACGCATTTAAAAAATGACTTTATGACACACTCGGTTAGCAAAGATCACAGTATAAATCCACATGGTTTTATCGACAAATTTTTAACATTGGATTTTCATTTGGATTTTGAAAGCTTATTGTGATATTTAGTCTGACTAATTTATTTATTAAAGTACCAAAGTTAAAAACACTGAAAGATTTTTGTTAAATTGGTTGGCATTACAATGAACTCAGTTAATATCGATAGCTATGAACAGATGAGCAAAATTTCATCACAAATTAGAATCAGTTTAACTGCAGAGCACAGATTGAAAAACACTGTCTTAGGCACATTTTTGAATCATAAAAAACTGGTCAATGAAATAAAAACTGACATAAGTGATAAATACAATGATTGTACATCATCAAATGATCATGAAATGAATTACTGGGTAAACAATTCACACGAAATAATACCTGAATGCAAGGTTTCCTGAGATTGACACAGAGGCCATCTGCATCTTTACTATAGTGTTCTACTAATTCTTGTAATGTACGGAAAGTAGTTCTTCGAGCAATAAAAAAGCCTCCTTCATCTAGCTGACGAATACGATAATGTTTTACGGTATCACCATCTTTGACTGAAAAACAAAATAAAAATGATCAGTAAGAGAATTTTCACAAATGCATATTTACGTATAGTAATGAACTATGCTGTTGCTTCTAATGCCACTTGCTAATACCAGTAAACCTGCTTTTTGCTTGGTAAAACCAAGTGAATTTAATGACAGAGGGTGCATTTCTTGTTTTTCAGTGGTGCCATCTATGGCCAAGAATACGACTTCAGCCACACACAACACAGCCCGTTTAAAGAGCGGACCCATTCATACATCTACAGATTGTAATATTGACCTGAACCATTTTTGCAAAGAATAAATTAAAAGAAAAGAATTAATCTCATTCAAATCACCAACTATTAACACTAATTTTAACAAATCATTTTCAAAGTTTGTTGTGAAATTTTTTTTAAAGGTTTTGGCAATCTAAGTGTAATATCCTGACTTACATATCCACTTATTTTGTGAGAACCCTGCTTTCTCCTATACATCACACAGATTAAAAACTATTATTCAATTAAACATGAAACAAAATAGACTTACCAGAAAGAGAAAAATCATTACGTCTGCTTTCACTATCCCTGATCAAAAATGCACCATGTTCATTTTCAGCTAATAAAAGCTTTTTTTCTGCTTCTATCCTTTTTATCTTTCCAAAATACCATCTACATAAAAATAGTACAATTAGTGATTAGCTCTAAAGATCTCTAATGTAAAAACCAACTAAGCCATTCTCAATGTTTCTGATTAGTTGATGCAGTCAGCATTTTCAGTGGCTTATAAATATCACAAGTCACTTGGCTCATCTGCTGGGAAAAACCAAACTCAAATGATAAAACATTTTATCAAAATTAATATCCCCCTCCCACCTCAAGTGATAGTTGATCTAAATTTAATTAACGGCTTTATGAAGAAAAAAATTTTTTTAATTAAACTTTTTCATTTTGGTAAGTACAATTGTTTCTTTTGCTGAAGCAGTTATTGGGCTGGTAATTGGCAAATGAAACAAGGGGAAGGGAGGTTACTCACAACAAAAAAAAAAATTATTCTGTAATTCATTATTTATCATAAATTTCAAGCATCTCTAAGGCTACAACTAGGGACCCATGCTTTTTCTTGTCTCCCTAGCAAGGCACAAGAAAAAGCCAGTAAATAAAAGTAAAAGGTAAATTGATTAATATCGCCTGCCATAATACATCAAATACAATGGATTGTAAAAACTGTATGCAATGATTATTTCATTTTATGCAGGCGATTAATAAAGCAATGAAATTATCAATTTATCTGCACCAAACATCTTTTTTTCGTAGAAAAAAATGTTTAATATCGAAATTGTTAATTAAATGATAATATTGTAAAAAATTGATTCCGTAACATATTTCTTCAATAAATTTTTCTGACTGTATTTAAAAACTGTAAAACTTCTTAGCATTTTTTCCTTGTTATTAAGATAATAGAAAATTTTTTAGCGACTGTCAATATTTTTTAAATTCCAGGATTTTTGAAATTTTATTACATTTAAGGTAATAGTTGCTTAAATATGAGTATCTACATTATTGATAAGATACACAGCACAGGTAAAGTTAGTGGTTTTCCGACTAACTTTAATAAGATGGAAAACATTATAGAACTTATTGATCCACCTATTCCAACAATTTAAATTTAAAGAAACTATTTAATGGAAAAAAAAGCTTAAAATATTAAGATAAAAATTAAAGTATTTTCACTTATCATTAACTTAAAATTATATCCAAAATGAAGAATTTACGTCGGACACCAGAATAAAAAATTTCAAATTAATTATACATCATATTGTTAAGAACTGAACTGAATTCTTTATTCAAATGTCAGCTTCAAAATTCAATCTTGACTTTTAAATTATAAACAATTTCACAAAGTTTAGACTATTTATAAATGAGTAATCATATTTAACTTTCCTGTGATTTATGTTCGACACCAACAATCAATTTAACTTCATTATTATTAGTTTTTATAAAATAAATTATCTTTTGATAGGTAATGATGTACATAATATTTCATATAAATACCACCTGTTTTTTGGGATTATCTTTTTATCACCAAGTTCTGGTGTTTGTTAGAATGCAATCAACACAGAGATGTACATGGAATAATGGGATAATCATATGTATAGTGTATGTAGGTGAGATTGTATTGGAGGTAGAGATTTGCGATTTTGATAATATTTATGACAGTTTTGAAATTGTACACATCAAGGTGTCTAAAACTAGCATAAAAAATTTACACTATTTCTTAGTTAACACTTCTTTGATTGTCCTTTTAAACTTTTACAGTAGGGAACCGATTATCCGGAACGATCGGGACCATCGCTATTCCGGATAACTGATTTTTCCGGTTTTCTGAATCGCTACAAAAAGCCGTTTTTTTTATTGTTAAACCCAACTAAAAAAATTTTTTTTTGGAAATAATCTTAAAAAGAAGAAAAAAACAATGGAGTAATACACTAATGATTATTTCCAAAATGATGGTAAGGTAAACAAAAAAGAAAGAAAAATCCTAAAATCTTATGAGGGAATTTTTTTTTTTTTTTTTAAAAATGGCGGGAAATTGTAGCGAATTTCGTTCCGGTTTTTTGGTTTTCTGATTTCCGGATAACGGGTTCTGTACTGTACTTTGTTTCGTAGAAAGGTGGCTTGTCTTTCAATTTATAATTTAAAAAAATTCCAAAAACAAAAAATTTGAAGACTTTAAAAATTTTTTTGCTTTAATTTTCCTTCCTGACTGTTAACTATTATTTGTCCATAAAATATGTCCCGATAGAATCAATTTGATTGATATAAGACAGTCTTGATATCGTTAATGAGTGAGTCAAATGCAGTAAAATTAAATTGAGCATGACATTATTACCACACACGAATTTTGAATCAAGCCAATTCTGTCTTATACACCTTTTTTTTAATGGAAATTCAGATTTTTTAATACTATTTTATTACGCACGAATTTCGAATCGTGTAGATTCTTTCATAAACCCATGTGACTTTTTAATCGTTTTATGATATGTTTTTATCATCATCGTTTTATCATATATTTCAACCAAGTAGTAATATTTTTTAATATCTTATAGAGAGACCTGAATTTCAATTGTACATTTGTGTAATTATTTTTGGATCACCTCAAATTGTGCTGAGTATTTTACATTGTCTTGCATTTTTGGCAGCTATTGCTAGAAATTTCTAAAAGGTATTTAAAATAAAATTTTTATTTCCAATTTTATTACAAGAAAATTTAGAAATGCACACTTAATTCTATCAGGACACGTTTCTCATGATTTGTTTTTCGTTTCTCGGGAATTGTAGTAGATTTCTATTAGGGATGTAATGAATATCCGGCCCTTTTGCGAAATATTCAGTAGGCGGAATATTTGGCAAGTACCTACTATTTGTAAAATTACTTAAAAAAATTTTTTTGGGGGAAAATTTTAATAGATTTAATAAAGAATACTTTAAAATCATTATTTTTACGGTACATTATTAGAAATAAGTTTTACACACATTAAGTTCTAAAACTTGCTAATTTATGTTCTGAAAGACACATGGGAAAGTGAAATTTGAATCCAGAGTACTTGATACTGAACCATGAGTTTTGTAACACTGATTTTTTTTGCTTTTTTTCATTATATTCAAGCAAGTTAATTTCATTATTTTTTCAACACTTTTAAAAATTGAGAACTCTTTTTTGTTTGTTTTATATTTTCTTGTTTTAACTAAAGTGAGGCGTGTTAACGGAGCAGTTCTAATAGACTTTATTCTTTTATCGTTCCTTTTTTCATGATGGTAAGACAGATAACTAGTAACATAGAAAACTATGATTTTCGAGGTTAAAGTTGTGTTTCAGAACAATTTATTTTTCTGTTTCTTTTTTGATTTTCTTTTATCACTGTTTTTATTATGACGGCATTTTTTAAGGAGCGTTTCTAATAACGTTATTCGTTCATGGTTACTTTTTCTAAAAATACAGCAATGAGGAAATGTTATAAATTAAGATTTTTAGCTTTAAATCCTTTGTTAAAAATTAAGAACGATTCTTTTTTGTTTTTATCTGGCTCTTTCTTTTTCAAGAAACTTATGATTTTATAGACATTTTAATGTAACTAAGAAATTAAGAGGGTTTCTATTAGACTTTAATCTTCACTTTTTCTTAAAAATACGGTAATTAAAAAACTGAAAGGCTTAGCTTTTGTACGTAATCTATGTTTTCTATAGACATTTTTATGATAGCACTGTAGTATTTCTGATAGACACTATCTCTTTTAATGTTTTATAGATATTTCTTTTCCCAGGAAATATTATTTTTAGCATTAAAGTTTTGTTTTAAAAATTAAGAAGTTTTTTTTTTTCTATATTTTTTTAAACTTCAGAACTTAAGTTTTTTTTTTATCTTAAATATTTCTAATTATCTTATTTATACATTTCTATTAACATTTTTTTCCCCTTCACTCTATATGAATAAATACAGCTAAGTTCTGATTATATTTCATTAATGACTAAACTTATTTCTATATAAAAATAATTATGAACGATTTTTTTGAAAAGAAAAATGTTGCTGAATTCGGTTTTATTATTCGGCCGAATTTTTGGTATTTTGCCAAATCACTATTCTAACATCCCTAATTTCTATTTGATTTTTTAAAATCTTGTTATTTTTAATACTATGAGGTGCATAAGAATTTCCAATAGGGCAGTGAGTTTTCAACACATCTGATACATGCCTATTCGTATCCTGCACTCTCTTGTCTATCATTTTTTGGGTAATTATCAACTACTGATTTCTACATAGTTATTAAAATCCCGTTTTTTATCTAATTTTTTTACAATAAACAAATTTCAAATAGCAAATTTTTATATGTTTGATTCGGTGTGATTCCAACTTAATTCACTTTTTACAACAGCCATTTTTGTTGCAATTACTATATGATTTTTAAAATCCTGTAATAAATTCGTCTACCATATTTCATTGACTCTATATTAAATTCACGTGAATCTTTACAAGTTCAATTTGTGCAAATTCTCTCGTAAATTCACTGTCCTGGCGATCGTTTTCTTAACAAGTCAGTGTTCTGGATTTGTTATTTGTGCTCGGAATTTTAAAATCCAGATTTTTTCTTTTAGTTAAAATATTATTAAAACAACATTTTTCTAATACAATATAACATACATTTGAGTAATCTTAAAAAAGGAAGGAAGAGTTTAACAGATTTCAACATGAAAAAGATATGAATCTCAACACGGAATGGCAGAAAACAGGACAAAAATACAGAACAGTTGGCAGCTATATGAAACAGTAACTTAAAGGAGGAAAAATTTCATCCTTGTAATAAGAAGTTTTCTATGGTAAAAAATTAATTATATAAAGTTGTTATAATTATCCTTTGGCTAAGACGTTTGAAATTTGGTTGATACTTTTGAGATTTGGCTGATTCATTGGCTAATAATTTGAAGTCCTTTGAGTGGACCCTGCTTCTGAAGGGCTTTAACCCAAATCAAGCCATAAACTTATGATGATCAGATGTAATTAGATCTAGAGGTTAGAATGTTAAAAATTGATAAAAGAAATTATAAAATTATTTTTCTTTTTCTAATTCAGATGTTTTAATAATTAGGAGATGACTTATACATTAAAAATTAAATGAGTGAATAGATAACCTTTAATGTGCGAAAGAAGCTTATATGTTTTTCTGTTAGAATAGAATAGCATATTTATATTTGAAAGCAAGCTTAAATTTTAGTTTCTTGGATTTAAAGATTCCTTACAGAAAATTCATTGCCATACAACTTATCAAACATTTAATTAAAAAATAAATAGAACTAAGAAGTTGTGAGGCTGGTGTTAAATGACAAAAAGAGGCAGTGGCAATTACTGCAACTGCTACTCTTAACTTTATTTATCTTTGTATTTTTTTATTGCTCATTCTTTAATTTTTTTTTCTATCTTTAACATGATTTGCATTTTTAAATTTCTATTTTATCATTATAATCTTATCCTTCAATCATTGCCACCTTTTTCTAAAAGATATTTATAATTAAACTTTCCTTTGGAAATAATTCTTTTAGGGATTTGTTTTCTATTTTTGTTATTCCTCTACCCGTTTCATAGCAAATTGATAAGGTGTGTCAAAGACGAAATACTGCATCTGTTCTTTCCAGCAGCAAAATAAATAAATAAATAAAAAATCAAATATCTGCCTATAGTTAGAGGAGTTCCTTTTCATCAATAATTAAATCTACTTTACGGCCTCAATAATTTATGAGTTATTAATTTATTTATGGTTTATATTAAAGAATTATTAATTTATGGTTTTGATTTTGTAAAATTTAATGTCCTTACCAAATTAATTTATGTTTTTCATAATTATTGAAGTCACAATCTCTAAAACTTAAATGTTTTTGAAAATTTCAAAATATACTGAATATATATTAATAAAAATTTTCCTTAAAAAATAATAGTATTAATTACAGAAATAAGTCAATTTTTTGCCCACTGTTCAATTTTGACATTTGTATCAGTTTTTGCCTTTAAGTCGTTTTTATTTTTTCAGAAATTTTCAAATATATGTAAATTAAAAAAGTTCAGAAGAACCCAATAGTTTGATGATTTTTAATTAAACTATACACAATAAAAGTCTACAAATGTTACATCCGAAATGGTGGAATTGCCGTTAACTAAATATTTATAAACACTTGTCAAAGTGTTCATTTTGGTACTCTTGAGGGAAAATTTTCTCAATGGTACTTACTTCAAAATAATCATCAACAATCATTATTTAAGTAACTTCTAGGCAGTAAGTAGAATGCAAGAAATTAAAAAAATAAATAAATAAAACTTATAAAAAGAAACAAATTGAAAGGGTATACATAAAGCCACACCCAGCAGAACCATTACATATCTTTTCGGTTTAATTTTTATAAATTCAAAAACCTTTTGGTGCTTTGGCAATTGTAGTTGTTACATAATACTGACATGGAAATTTTCCTACTCTTTTGGAATTTACCTCAAATAAAAATATTTACTGTATACAAAGTCCATTTAATTTTTCTTTATCTGTAAAATTCAAAACTGCAAAACCTCCCCTTTTAACATCAGTTTATATTCATCTTTAAAGAGTAAATACATATTGTAAGGACTTTAGCAGAAGAATTTAGAAAGAATATCCACTTAGATATTAAAGAGCAAAAATTTTCATGATTCAATTTAAACATTTGACTCAGGTCACATGGCTACCAACCATTGTGTCAATTTTCATAATTTTTTTAAACCTTTTAGTTAAATAAAAACAAACATAACTGAAAATTTATATTTTGTAACAATATATTGTTTGCATCAGCAAAACAGGTGTGATTTTATGCAAATAAGTATACAGTTTATATACTCACGGTTCAGCTTCAATTGATTTTAATTTAGCTACATAATTAGAAGGTATGTAACCTTCCTTTTTAGTAGCTTTAGATCGGGCAAACCACCAGTCTCCTTGAGTGTCATTTAAAATTTCTAAATGTTCTCCTTTTTTAAAACTCAAATCTTCGTCTGTTCGAGCATCATAGTCATACAAGGCAACAAATACTTTGGCACTATGGCCTAGTAGATTGTCAGAATCAATCGGAACAGGTGGTAAGATTGGTCCACTCCTAGCTATTGCATCTGGATGTCTGATACTTGTAGGTTCATGAGACTGAACAGGCACAAGCATACTTATCTGTACTGGTCCGTTATCATTGTTTCTTTCAGACAAGTTCGGACCGCTCTGTTCTCCTTTTTTAACAGTTTTGTTGGTTCGGCTAAAACAATTTCCCATTTTTTTTTTTTTTTTATATTATAAAACAGAAACTGTTTCAAACTATTCAATGTAAGGAGTTTGTTGTGACGATTAGATTTATAAAAACAAAACAATACTCATAATTATCAACACAAACAATCAATCCGACACACAAACTCGTCTATTAGTTCAGTCTGAAGTGTAAAAGAATTGGACATTATTTTTTACATTATATTAGTTAACCTTAAAAGTTCATTAATTATTATAAATATCCCTATTAATTCGGACACGGAAAATTTTTTTTGTGGCAACAACATAAGATTTTTGTTGCCAGATCTGAAGCATCGATATATCTAAACACACCCACTAAAGAACTGTTCCCTTTGCGTATAATAAATTCGTGGATGCGAGTTCAGAGATGCAAATGAAAATCTGAAACCAATCGCAATTCACGCTCTCGTTTGCATCTCCTCAAATGCATGTTTGCGAATTTCTTACTTGCAGTGAAAAATTCATGCAAGTAAAAAAAGTGATACATTTCTGATCATCTTTCAAGTACTTTCTTCTCAGGTGTAAAAGTTAACAAAAATAGGTATCTGTAAACGTATTTATGAAATAGCGGGACAGAGCGGGACATTTTAATGTACTAGGTAGAAATTTATGCTTTCTTTTTATTTAAGTTAAGTGAATTATATTGTTTGTCAGTTTACAAATTTATATTGATATTTTTCATATTTAAGATCAGTTTTTTTTGTAATTTCTCATAAATAACGTGATGATATTTTTAAATGTTACTTTTGATTTCACGAATTACTTGATTATTAGTACAATATACTGCCTGCTAATTATTTCCAAAGAACAGAATTTATATTTTATTATTAATATTTTTTTGGTGGAAAATTGTGAAGAAAGTAATTTTCCTTATTCGCTTTTTCATTTTAAATTTTCAGAAATAGCGAAATTCTTCAAAAAGAAATCAAACGACTATTAGAAAAAGTTCTTATCAAAATTAATTGTTTGACAATAAACAAAAGAGGATTAATTCTCTCCAGAATGGCGCTTCATGCTTCGTTTTCTTAATTTCATTCTTTATCTTTCTCATTGAGATTAATACATAGTTCTACAAAATTCATAATAGATTAAATTAATGTTCTACAATGCTGAAGTAATTATACAAAAACACTGTATAACAACACTGAAATAATTAATATATACAAGGTAGAGTAATCTATGGTTTATTATTGCTATGTCTCTTATCTGATATAAAAATCTTTCTTGCACCTGTTAGATTTGATTTGATTCCCCCATTACCAAAAAAAAAAATCAAATTTTAAATTAAGCTCTTTTCTGGTTAAGTACTAAATTATGGAAAGCATAACGGAACTGAAACCACTTCAACAAGTACCACAGTTGATGCTTACAAGTGGCATTTTCGATTTAGAAAGTTCATTTTCTTTATTTAATCAGTCACTTTCAAATAATGTTTAGTTCCAAAGAAAAGATATAAACCATATTCTACAGGCTTCTGTTTAGAAGAAATTTGGGTCCGTTCACAAAATATCTTTCCATAAAAATGGACCCACAAAATAATTCATCTTTTAATCGGACCCTTCACAAATTTGTTTATCTTCATTATTGTTTTGTCAATCGAATAAACCAGGGATAGGCAAACTTTTTGGTTGCGGGCAAACAATCGAGAGAAAAAGTTTGGTGGGCCAATTAGAAACACTCTTAATAAACCAATTAAAAAAAAGTATATAGGTAAAAAAAGTACAAATTTTAATTTAAATATTTAATGAGATGAATGAAATTGCAATTTCATTTTTAAAAGTTCCTTATATTAAGATGTGCTTATTTTAAGGAATGACGCAAAATGCTTGTCTGTTAGTCTAGTTTTGAAAGGATTTTTTCTAAGGTTCATAGTTGAAAACACTTGTTCACATATATAAGATGTAGCAAACATAGCAATGATTTTCTGGGCATGAGATATTAAATTTTGGAAACTAGTTTTTGGTAATGATTTGTAGAACTCAAACTTTGGCTTATTTAGAAACAACTGCTTCGGATGCTTGTTATTGCAAGTCAATTAATTCAAGCTGCAAATCCGACCTTACTGTTTCACAATTTACGTTAAAAGTCAAGGTAATTCTGTTTGAATTGCACTGAAATCTGCGTTAAAATTCAAAATGGAGTTTTTTCAAGCCATCTTGATAATTCTTAATCTTTTCCTTATTTACTGAGGGTATTGACTTTAACCCCGAGAAATAACTCATTCTTAGCTAGCTGCCCAGCAAACAGTTTCAGCTTCAGTTTAAAAGCTTTGAGATGGGCCCAGATATCATTGATAAATTGATTTTTCCCTTGCATCTTAATATTCAAGTTGTTTATATGACGAAGAAGATCTGTGAGAAATGCAAAGTCTGAAAGCCATTCTGTATCTTCTAATATTTCACACTTTACTGAAGACTGTTTCTCATAGAAAAACGACACAATGTCGTCTTTCAGCAGTCAAACTCGCTCGAAAATACACCCGGCACTAAGCCATCTTACTTTCGTGTAATACAGTACATCAGAATATTCAGATTGCACGGACTGAAGAAAATATCGGAATTGCCTGCGATTTTGTATGCCCACAAAATCGAATAGTATTAACAAGATTTACTACTGCTTCAAGCATAGGTTTCATATTTAATACCGATTTACACAGAGCATCTTCGTGTATAACGTAATGTAGAAAACTAACATTATTCCCGGTATAGTTCTGATTAAAGAGTCCAACAAATACAGATTATCTTTTTTTTCTATCATATTTTGTACCCCATCAGTCGAAATATTACATATTTTTGTTATGCCCACTTTCAAAGTTAAAAATCCTTCCTGAAACTCACGAAAAATATTACATCTCGTGGTAGTTCCCTTTAAAGAATGCATGCGCGCCAGTTATTCCATAATTTCAAAGTTCTCATCAACACCTCTTATAATTAATACTAAGCAGTATCAATTATATCAGTGCTTTCATCCATTGCTATTGCGCAAAATTTAAATTGTGCAATTTTTGATATCAAGATTGTGACGTAAAATTTTTATAGATGACTTCGATTCTAGAAGTCACTGTTTTTCGCAACAAGCTTACAGCCTCAAAATTATTGTTCATGTCTGGACATAAATCATCACAAACTTGGAGCACACACTGTTTAACAAACTCCCCACCCCATCACCAAGAGATTTATTATTTTTAGCAATATTATATGCTACTATGTAACTTGCATGCATAACTGCTTCTTGGACACTGTTCATCATGAAAATATTTTGTCGGCCTGCAGACATTGCTTCGTAGTTGGCATTCTTGTGCTTGGCTGTAAAATGTCGGTTAGGGTTGTATTCATTAAGATCAGCTACAGCTTTATTGCAGATAAGACATACTGGTTTATCTTTTACAACTGTAAAAAAACGTTTCCAAGTCCATTCATCATTGAACGCATGGTACTCTGAATCAACTTAGTGTTTTTTGGTAGCTATTTTAGGGTCAACAATTTTTTCAAATAACTCAAAAAAGCACTGGCCATTTTATGCATTTAATAATTTTACTATTATTTACAATGATGTTATATGTGTGCAATATTTCCATACGCAATAAATAATGTTAGAACTCACGCTGACAGAAAAATCCGCTCATTGTAGCCTAAAATGCGCAGTCTGCCACGTGTGAAGTACAATTCACCTATATTAAATTCCATATGTCCTCGAGAAAGACAAGTGCTCATTGGAGCCAATGTACGGCTATTCTGTAAAGAGCTTTTGCTTTCAACATTTTACCAATTGAAGTTGTCTGTGCTAACTATTTCCATCAATTTATGTTTTGTAGAAGAAAAATAGAGAAAGTAAAAAGGTCATCAGTACTTTGTTAAAAAAGAAAAAGCAAAAATAGCTTTAAACAAAGTGGGCAAGAAAATGGATGTACAGTACAGAACCCGTTATCCGGAAATCAGAAAACCGGAAAACCAAAAAACCGGAACGAAATTCGATAAATTTTCCCGCCATTTTTTTAAAAAAAAAATGTTTTTTTCCTCATAAGATTTTAGGATTTTTCTTTCTTTTTGAAAGATGTTTACCTTACCATCGTTTTGGAAATAATCATTAGTGTATTACTTCATCGTTTTCTCTTCTTTTTAAGATTATTTCCAAATATATTTTTTTTACTTGGGTTTACAATAAAGAAACGGCTTTTTGTGGCGATTCAGAAAACCGGAAAAATCAATTATCCGGAATAGCGATGGTCCCGATCGTTCCGGATAATCGGTTCCCTACTGTATGATGTATATTGTTTATATTTGCCACTGATCGGCTAGTTAAAATTCTGTCCGCGGGCTGAATAAAGCCGTAGTTTGCCCATCCCTGGGATAATTCCTTCCCGAAGGGGGGGAACGGTTCGAAACGAACTAAGTTTCCTTAAGTTTAAATTCCAAATGTAGTATTCTAGGAAAATATTTCTACTTTTGCAAACATCGTGTGCACATTCTTATTGATATTAAATGAAATTTTTTTTTGAAATAAATAATTGATCAATTTATAATTATAATAAATAAAATTAATTAATAGAATGTTATCTAAATAAAAATTAATTTCTGGCAATTTTTTAAATAAAATATTATAAATTTAAGAATTATTTAAATGTGCTTAATGCATAACACATTAAAAGTGATACATAACTAAGTTGTGTTTTTAAAATGTTTTTAAAATATATCATGTTATTTAATATATGTAAGTGTTATTTAAAATATTTCAATTGTAATTATTAAAAATGTGAGTGATTTTGTTACCGCTATTCATCTAAAATGAATATTCTCTGTTGAGCAGTATAGGCTAAATACCAAATATTCGTATGTTGCATCTCTAATTTATTAGCAGAAATTGTTGAGCAGAGTTTTGTATCTATTTACAATTTAAAAACTTCCTGAAAAGAGTTTTAGCAATTTTTGCAATAACAGGACCCTATTTGCTCAAATTCGCAGAGGCAGGATCCTGGTTGAAAGAATGTGACTTAACTCTTTATTTTATATTCACAAATTATGAGTAGTTTTTTTTTTGACAATTTTACAAAAACTGAACCTTTCACAAAATGTCTGGACAGACCCCTGTTCTATAATACTTCAATATTTATTCATACTGTTTAAGGACTGAAATAATTATGAATAATTTACATTGGATGATGTTTTGAGACTGCACAATTTTCGATTGAATATCAAATAGTTTTATAGTTTCTGAGAAACTGTCATTATCAGTCTCCTTATCCCTCTTTGTAAATCCTTTTCTCATACTATATAAGTTCTAGGAGTATGGTTAGTCCAACAATGCATCATTCGAACTCTAGTATCGAATTTGATTGCTTTTGTAAGATGAATTGTTAAGATTGGAGTTTTCCCTTTAATTTGTTCAAAAATAAGGGTGTGTCTGCTTGTAATGTTTAAGGTTATATTGTTCTTTAGTAATCTGGAATATCAGGTAGCCAGAAAGTCTGCTTGTATTGTTCTTTTTAGTAATCTAGAAATATCAGGTAACCAGAAGAATATCCGTCACTAGGATCTGAATAGTTGGAACCTTACTATATAATTAAATATTACTAACAATTTTTTTATTATTTTAGAAATTCGAATTAATAAGTAACAGTAAAAGGAAACAGTCTGTTAATGTTACTACTTAAAGTTTTCAAAACATTTTAAGAACATCATTTGACACAATATTAGTTGGTATAGATAATAATTTTAGAAAATTATTATTTGAGTTTTTGACATTGCTGGGGTACTCTCAAGATTGAATAAACATCCCCTTCAAATTTAAAAAATCTTTCTATTTTCAAAAACTACAAAAATATATATATAAAATTTGTATTTAAATGATAAATTTTTAGCTATATCTGAACTATCTCTTACTGTTAGGAATATTTTGTACAACAATATTTTCAAAAGACAAAATTGACTTTCTGTAAAAAAAATTAACATTAATGAGGGGGAAATAAAACACTGAAAAATTATAGCCTCTTTAAGATCACAATGCAAAACTGACAAAAGTTCTGCTTTTGTGTTCTTTTTAACCTCAGAATCACTCACACCATATAAAGGAGATCAGCAAGCAAGTTTCTGTCTTGAGTAAAAAATAGTAGTCACCACCCAAAAATCTGAGGCTGGCCCTAGAATTGAATATCAAATCCATTGCTCCTCTCTGGCTTGCTGATTTCTTTGGTCAGTTCGTGTTGTCAGCTTCGTTTGGTTTTGATTTCTAATAAAAGAAAAATGAATGATCATTGTGATGCATCATATTTGGATGAAATAAATTATCTTATTTAATATAAATAAGGCTAAATACTTTTTTTTAATTTTCATTCATAATTTATATGATTACATTTGATCAAATAAAATGGGAAATTCCTCCCCTTTCTCTCTCCTTTTTTTTTTTTTTTTTTTTTTTTTTTTTTTTTTTTNTTTTTTTTTTGAAATAAGAAAAAAAAAAATATCTTTTCATGACATGAAAAAATTACTTTTTCTTTGTACTATTATATCAGATGATGCATAAATTAAAAGAAGAAATATTTTTTAAAAATAGAAATGAAGGATTAAAAGTTACCACAAATACATAGTGTAAACAATCTCTTTATAAATACTCAGTAAAATTTTAAATCAATATTACTTTTTTTTAATCAAGCTGATTTATGTCAACATACTCTGCATAAAATGGCATAAAAAGTTTATTCATAGTAACTTATAAGCTTTTTATTTTAATTCTTGAAATTGTTACCTGCAACTTTAAATCTTTGTAATAAGCTATATGAAATGCCTTGAAAATTTTGACTCATAATTTGAAACAATTTCGTTGTCACTGGCCTAGTTCTTGGCTACACTTGAAAAGTACTCGTTTAGTTAATATGATTGATTTAAGCCGTGATGGCGCTGGGGATAATTCACTCATTTCCCAATAAGGTGACCCGGGTTCAAATCCAAAAAATGGCTGGTCGATACGAATTTGGCACTTGTCACACTATGACCAAAGTGCTGGCGTAAAATATCCTCAGTTGTAGATGGAATCGTGGGTTAGAGTGCCCTTGCCAACAGACTAACTGTAAGAGGTTTTCGTGTTTGCCTCCAAGTAATGCAAATGCGGGTTAGTTCCATTAAAAAGTCCTTCACAAAGGCAAATTTCTCTCAATACTTGATCCAGAAATTCTGTTGTCTTTTGGATTGGGTTCTAAATTACAAGGCTAAAGAGTTGACATTGATTGTCAAAAAACTCAAATTGTGTCGGATGTTTAACGATGATTTTAAGAAATAAAGTATGATTGGTTTCCTAAACTTTATATATTTTTTCCTCCCACAGTAATCACAATGAGTGAAAAAAAGGAAATTCCTCCTAAAGTTTTTCAAGAAATGGTGAAGGTAATTTTGAACATATTTATTTTTATTTGATAATAATCATCGTAAACGCTGGGAAAATGTCATGGCTACACCTAATAGCTTCTCTATTTTTTGTAGTCAGTAAGTCTTTTCTTGAACTTTTCTGTCCTTCAAGAATTTTTATCTGTTCACACTATAATACATAGCCTACATACACATAAATTTATTATCACTTATATATTTACAAGAACAAGACCTAGGCAGAATTAATCCTATTAAAAACATTATGAATAAATTTTTCACAAGATAAGGACCATTCCCAAAAAAATCTGCCCGAACTCTGATTTTTGTATTTTTCTATGAAATCGTGAAAAAATTATTTCCTTTTTAAAAAGAAGTGAGGTTTGAGCCTAAATGGTCAAATATGTAGAGCCTAAAGCTTGCAACATTTGACTATAGATAAGGAATCATCATATTATTTGTATAAAAATAAGTCTTATTTTTAAAAATAAAATTAATTATAAATGGATTTTTTTTTCAATTTCAAGAAAACAGGACCCTTTACAAAAAGTCTGGAATAACCCCCATTTATGCCACATGGACAAAAACTTTATTTCTTGTCTAAATATGAAATATGCATTTGTGAAGAAAAATTACTCTAGAATTTAAATTTCTGTGATGGGTCTAAAAATGGATATAATTTCTTTATGTCCATTTTGGTCTAAGCAAAACAAATGCCAACCTTTATTCTTAAAATGCACTTAATAAATTCAACAAAATTGAGCTTGATGCTTTTTGAACTATTTATTCCAAACATTTAAATGTTATGTTTTTTAAACATCATAAATAAGAAAAAATTTATTTTTCAAGTGAAAGTACTTACAATTTAAGAGAGAAGGATCCTGTATCTATAGTCAAATTTTAAAATTCTCTACTTATGATATTGAACCATTTAGGTTTGAAAACACCTTTTTTTATTATTAATTTAAAGACTTGAATACATGATTTAACTTCAGAAAAAAATTATATATGTTATTTCCTTTTCAAATAGAAACTTTTTAATAAATAATAATTTGTGAAATACAAAAAATTTTAGAGTCTGCAACAAGAATTTAATTTCTGAAATTCTCAATACCTCCTAAATAATAATAAAAACTGAAAACAAATAGCGTTTTCTCCTAGTTTTAACATTTAACCTGTGATATTTATTTAAAAAAAAACATTTATGAGATAAGTGGAATAGCACCTTCTCATTAAATAATCAAGAAAATTGTCATTTCTCCTTTTTAATTCTTATATTATATTGTGGTTGTTATCACATTTTTTTACTGTTTTCTGACCGACACAATATGACAAGAGGCACTTTAACTTGACTGTATTCTTTTTTATGGTAGGAACATTTGCCCAATCTGGATTGACTGTTCCGACTAGCTTGGACTACTGGTATTCCACTATGCATAAATTTGCAATCTGCTCTAACCTAATCCTCTCATTTGAAAAGCTGAACTTGTCAAGAATGCATTGTACTCAGATGGGTATAATAAAAAAGCAAGGTATAACTACCCATAATGGTTATTGAAAATTTAAATAAATTCTTGATAGATCTATCAAGATGTATCTATACAACTAGTTTCAGTGAAGTAAAGAAAATTTTTAAGGAATTGATTTGTTACTTGTCTGTCGGAATTTTGTTGAAATTTTTTTTGCATTGCTATGCATTTTTGATAAAGTTTCATTAACTCACATTTCTGATAAAGTTCACAAAAGTAATTATAAAAATAGATTTTTAAAATTAAAAATATTGCAACTAAGTATTGTTTTTCTCTGGCCACTAAAGTATGTGATTTTCATGATCATAAATAAATACTGTTCAACTTAAACTAAAACCTCCTAACTTAACTAACATTTGCTAACTTTTAAAAAAAATAATCTATGTTTGTACATCAAACATTTGTCCTACCGCCAGATTTAAGAATAGGTCATTTTTAAGCTTACAAAATTCAAATACACTCAAATGCACATTTCATAATTCTGTCATTTAATTATTATTTATTTGAACCTAAATAAAATTTGTGACCAGCTTCCAATTTCAATACTATCATGGTTCTTAAGTCTGTTTGTTTTTATTTTAGAGAAGGTCTAGTGATACAAGAATGATGTTTACTTCTTTCTCACCTACGAGTAGCATTTCTCAATCCACACCCACATCTGGTAAAAAAAGACCCATTTGTGATGATAATTTCAGGGTTTCTAAACTTAAAACACCTAGTTGCTCTGATTCATTGGAAAAAGACACCATCTATACAAAAGAAATGATTGAAAAATGTGATAATAAAGAAGAACTGCTGAAAATGTATGGAAATTTAAAGAGAAACAACCTGGAGCTAGAGAAAAAGCTGCAGAAATTGCAACTAGTCAAAAAGCATCATTCTAAAGTAAGTTATCTATGCTTTATATTTTTACACATTATTAATATTGAAGTACTTTGTGGAAGAAGGTTCTAAGCAACATTTTTGAAAAAAATTTAGATTTATGTAGAGAAATTCTTGTTTTAATATTATTATCTAACAGTACAGCATTATAATTTATTTTGCTCAGTCTTGATAATTTACTTTGCTCAGGATGAAAGGACTAAGTGAGAGTTATAAAATATTTTTGGTTCAGTTCATTTTTAAGCTATAATTGTCTCCCATTTTTGGAACCTCTGATTAAGATTGCTTTTTTCTTTGTATGTTATATGTTATTTCTATGAATATCTTTTGCATTTTGATTTTTCTTAGCAAATATTTTAAATACTATGCATAGTTAAAATTTTTACTTAGTTTGTACTGTAATTCTTATTTATTAAACGGTTAAAATTCACTATGAAGAAATGTCAAATGAAGGAACAGAGAAAACTATTTATACATGCTAGGGAATTTATAGATTTGGTAGTTGTCTTCATCTTCCTGATAAAAAAATATTTTATCCTTATTTGTCCTGGTTTTTAGCTTTTTATCTTTTATTCCTAGTTCTTGTGTGTGTTCAGAACACCTCATTTTCTATGGATATACTAATTAAATACATGGTTCAGACATATAGCCTTACCAGCTGAATTCATAGCTTTTACCTTTTTGGAAATTCTGTCATTTTATGAAAAGGAAACTCTATTAACAATTTTACATTATCAAATTTTAATGATGATGAATTCAGGAGTCGTATGCGTTATTTATTGTTTTCAGCAGAGACAGTAAAAAATCTTGTCAATTGTGTTATAGATTTATTTCTCTTTCATGGATTTTAAAATATATATAGGTAAAATGGAATATTTAATATTTTTTTTCAATGCAAAATTATATAAAATTTTTGCATGTATTTATTTTAAACTATTATAAGTTATTTAGTATTGATAAAATTATACTAGTAACTGTTACAACTTTCTGTTCTAAACAAAGTAATTCTGAAATTAAAAATCGTATATTTTATTATTCTTTCGCTTAACATTTGCTTTTTTTTACAATTAAGCAGAGCAAATTATACTTTTTAGCTTGCTGTTATCAAGGTCAAGAAAATAATTTTAAAGTAGTTTATTTAGGAAGTTCCCAAAATGGGAAACTTGGTGTTATCAGGAAATCCGACAATAACTGCTGAAAACATAGTTGGAAAGTCACTGTCATATCAGAATAATATCACATTAAAACTATTAAGATTTTTATAGTATGTGGAAATCAGATATCAATAACCACCAAAAAAGCTCTTTAAAGCTACATAAATTTACTGTGGAATATGTGCAATTTGAGCATGTTTGAAAGTAATGACTTGAATGCATGATTTAAAATTTCCAACTTATTATTTTTTTCTTTTCGAGAAAGAAAAAAAAAATTCAAATTATTTTCATCATATTCATGTGTTAGTAAACTACATGTTGTGCACTCCTAAACTAAATTATTAAAAAATATTATTAAAATTCTATAATATGCCTGAAAAGTATGAAAGTACCAACATAAATAATCTAAAAGATTGACAAAATGTTTCTCTCACCAGTTTTATAATAATCTACAAAAATTAATAGTTTGTAATGTATTATGTTCATATAATTAAGAAGAATAGCATAGAAAATATTTTCATGCGGAAAATTTCTGTGTTACCTCATTTTGTTTATTTTTATTATTGTTATTGAAAAAGGTAAATTTAACTGAATTCAAACAGTTAAATAACTACAATTATTATTTCAAAAGAATTTTTACAAAACACAAGACAATTAAGTTTAAAATAATTTGTAATATTTTATTTCAATAACTGTAAAAGTTTACCGTAAAACTACCTCACAAAATGTATTAACAAAAGAAAAAAAATAATGATTAAGGTAATTTTGGTAATCCTTGAAATTAATTGATGAATAAAAAATTGAATTGAAAATTGATGAATAAAAAATTGAAATATATTTCATCAAAAATACATGAAGAAAGGTATTCCTAATAATTTAAGTACACCCTAATTTCTACTTGGGCAATTCCACAGTAAGTAAGATGTTATGGAAGGGACATTTTGGTCTTTATCTTATTATTTTATAAAAATTACTTTTTAAGCTTTTTTCCATGTTCTTTTTAGTAGGTTCAATACATACATACAGTCAATTTGAAATATCATGAGGCAGTGGTATCATTATCACATCTGTGTAGAGGTACTTTATTTGCTCGCAGAAGCTTGTAGCATAAGGACGTTTTGAAACATTGTAACTTAGTCCAATCCTTGTTTTCTTAATTTCTTTGTTAACCAATCGTTACTATGGCCAGTCTTCATCATCTTGACAACGCCACAAGATGACGAATAGTTGGAATACTCGAGACAGACCAATCATAGGTTACCTGTTGTAGACACCTCAGGATTTAGAGAAATGTGGTGTCCACTTGGAAATAGTTAATAAAGACAGGAACAGTAGTCTGCTAGACCTGGTCAAGGCCGCAAAAGAGCAACAACGCTGGCTCAAGACTGATTAGAGGCTTCAAAGATCACTATGGTCTGGTGGTCTAGGTAAGCATCATGACATGTGGTCATATTGACCATCATGTGTTCGATCGAGGTACTTTGACAGGTGCGTGGTACCGGGACACGAGATTCTTGATCCTATGTGACACTTTTCCGCAGAGCATATGGACTAAATTTCACTTTTATGATGATAATAACCATCCATACAGGGCTCAGTTTGTGAATGAATACCTCCGATCGGAGGATCCTCCTTCTGTGGCAAAGAACGCAATAGCTCAGTGCCAGTAATAAATTGATCCAGGATTTAATTCAACTTGAGGAAATAAATTCTAATTCAAAAATTATTTAAACAGAAATATTTTGTGATTGCAAATTCTTATTTTATTAGGAACTTGAGTCTTGCTTTTTGTCACACGTGCAAAGAATATACAGTGACTTTCATTTTATATTTATTTTACTAGTTTTAGCATGCACAATCGAGAAAGAAAAAAAAAATAAAAAAGAAAAAAAATTTAAATATATATATATGTATNTTATATATATACACAGTGAAACCTCCTTCCATGAATAAGCCCTTATGTATGGTCTCCGCAATGCGGACACTCCCTTAACAGGACGTGGACAGTCATTTTTGCTCTGAAACGTTATTTTCTACCTCTTCAAACCGGACACTACTTTTTCTAAATTTTAAAAAAATAAATTTTACAAGAAAAAAATGCCACTCTCCACCATTTTTTGAAACATGTAAATTTTTTGCCTTATATATAACTAAGAACATTAAGCTATTTCAGTTCTAAAGACTATCATTCTCCTGTCACCTTTCTTTATCTTTTTGATTTCATCTTTGGCTAGAAAGAAAGGAGAATGATTCAGCTCATGTAAAATATTTCGAACGTCGGCATCTTTTGATCTTTTTATCTGGACTACACAGTTGTGACCCCACATCAATTCCTCTTCCCCACTGAAATTTCCTTTCTACTTCTAATCAGTTTGTACCCTGCACTCATCCCATCTGGGTTAAAAGAATAGAATAGAAATCTTAGTCATGGAGGTATTCATATAAATCAAACACTTATTCAAACTCTTGACAAATGATTGATTGTGAATACAAATCCGTAAACCTGGTTTCTTACAGGTAAGCATTGTCTTGTTCCTTTTTCTATGCATTACTGGAGGTTTACATTCAGGGAGGTATTACGTTTCTTATCAAGTGATGGGGGAATAATCATATTGATTGAAACCGAGTGTGGTCGTGACGTAGAAATATAAGTGTCCATTCCGTATCATATGACTGATTTGAATATCTGTGTAATTATGAAAAACATTTTCATTTCTTTGTAACTACATCTGTTGAAAGTGTATTTGAGATAAAACTTTTGAAAGATCTTCATTCTTGAGAAAGTCTTCTTGTTCAACTATGCCTCCCAAAATTTTAACTTTGAAGGAAAGAATTGAACTTTTAGAGTATCAAAAAAGCAATGTCTGAAAATTGGCCAAACACTTTAAAATTGGAAAGACTCAGGCAGCAGACATCATTAAAAATAGAGAAAAACTTATGAAACTTTGGTGCGAAAATGGAAATAAGAACCAAATTAGAATATCTTTGGAAAACGGACCTGGATTTAAAATTGATAGATGCGTTTTCAAACGGTTTTCTCAAGTTAGAAGCAAGAAATATCCAGTATTTGGACCAATGTTACAGGAAAAGGCTAGAGAGACAGCTGAGAAATTGGGAATAAAGGATTTTAAAGCCTCTAATGGATAGTAAGAAAAGTTCAGAAAGAGGCATATGATTTCTTTTAAATCAATAAGTGGAGACTCTTCTGTGGATGCTGACATGGTTAAAGAATGGTTGGAGAAGCTGCCTTCCTTATTGAGGGACTATGCACCCGATGACGTATTAAATGCTGATGAAACTGGTCTTTTTTTTTGGGCATTACCGGAAAAAACTTTGTGTTTAAAAGGTGAAAAGTGTGAAGGAGGTAAAATGTCAAAAGAAAGATTGACAATTTTACTTTTCACAAGTATGACCGGAGAACAAGAGCCTGTTGATTATAGGGAAATCAAATAAGCCCAGGTGTTTTAAAGGAATGGATTTATTTAGGCTTGGAATACAATGGAAAGCAAATCAACGAGCATGGATGACCCAGGATTTAATGACTGAGTGGTTGCTTGAACTTGATAGAAAAATGGGCCGCAAAGACAGGAAAGTTATTCTTTTTCTTGATAATGCAGCGTCTCTTCCCAACATTAATCTAAAGAATGTAAAAAATGCATTCTTTCCTCCAAATGTAACATCTGTTTGCCAGCCACTTGATCAAGGTGTTATTAAAAACTTCAAAGTATTTTATAGGCAACTAATTTTAAATCACTTGATTACGAGCTTAGATGGGCCAAATAAAGAAAACATAAAAATTTATGTTTTACTATCTTTGTGGATAATAGCAGCCTGGAATAAAGTAAAAAGCTCAACCAGTTTAAACTGTTTCACTAAGGCAGGCTTCAAAAAAGATACATCAGAATGCAATATCCTTACAGATGTCGTGGATGACACAAATTCTGATGATTCCTTTTCTGAATTAACAAATTTGATTCGCATGACTGGAGAAAGTGTTGTCAACGGTAATGATTTTGTAAACATGATGAAAATATTGAATGTCAAAAGAATGATTTAAATATGGTCGAAATTGTTGAAATATTAACAAATATTGATGCCGAGAGTGAAAATGAAGACACTGATACTCAACTGCTTTCAGAATACGAACCAAAAGTGAAAACTTTAAGTGATGCTCAAACTTGTATTGAGGAACTGAGACAGTTTTATTTATTGAAAAATGATGAAATTGGTGTAACGATGCTAAATAATTTAAAAATGTACCATGAAGATATGGTGAGTCGCAGTCACTTAAAACAAACTTCTATCACATCTTTCTTTTCAACTGGATAATAGTATAACAAAGGCATGCATTAGATTTCTTAATCTTCTCTTTTTGTATCATAAGTATTATAATTTTGTTATGTTTAAATAAATGTCAATGTGAATAGTTCTTATATATTATTTAATTATTTCTAAATCATAGCAATTATTCTAAAAACAATTTATGGCTTGAGTATTCTTTATTAATGTATATCCTTCGCCTAAACGGACAATTTTTTTGGTCCCGAGAGTGTCCGCTTAACAGAGGTTTCACTGTATATACAGTCGTCCCCACTTAATCGCCCCTTGGATATTTGAATACCCGCTTATACGAATAAAATTTAATGGAACCAAATCATTTTATATTAAACTAATGTTAAACTTTCCCGTTTAAATGGTTATTTGTTGTTTTTTGCCCCCTCTTAATTGCATAAAGAAGTGGTACTGAAATGAAAAAAAATTGTTTATTTTTGAGAAATGTTTCACCTGCTAAAATGGAATTTACTTTTTTCAGTTAAGATAATGATACAAGGTGGTCATTTCAATAGGGATTTCATATTCATTAGTAGGTGTTTGAGATGAGGTTGAAAAATTAATCAAATCTCGCTGCCAGTTATACATTGAAGTAAACGAAGGGGGTTTTACCGCTCTTTGACTTACTTCACTCACACATCATTTAGTATGTAAAAAAGGGATAGAGTTATTTGTTTTTAGGTCAAGACTTGTGGTCCCCTCTTGATGTACTATTAGCTTTGATAAGAAAAAGTTTTAAAAACCTAATATAGTAGTGAAAAGAGTGTCTTTCTCTTAAGTAGAATAATTGCTTAATCCAGTGAATAATTTTGAGTTGGTTGCAAGTTGAGTGCGAAAAAGAATGATTTAAATTAATCGGAAAAAAAAAACAATGACTCTTTTAAACAATAAATTTTATTAAAAATCCCCAACTAAAATAGAGCATTAATTAGGAATTTCACAAGATTAGAAGGTTTTAAAAAAAAATATTGAATGCGTTTGAAAGGAATACGCACAAGTCATGAAAATTTTAGTAGAAACTTAAAGGGAATATCTCATTTTGATAAATTGACGAATTAAATGGGCGGAAAAAAAAAACAATTCAAAACAAAACGTCTTCTGTTATAGAATTTTTCGGATGGGATCAAATAATATTTTAGTTCCTACATGATACTTTTCACTAACGTTGATTTATTTTTATGCAACTTTAAATGACATTTTTTTATGATTCTAAGGCAGAAAGGTTTAATTATAATTATTTATTGATCATAAAACTGAGTTTATTTAATCAAAACGCTGTATTATGCATTAAATACCATTAAAAATTAAAATTTCGCAAAAATTTAGAATTTAAGATGGAATATTGCACTCCCCATTTAATTGAATAACCCGCTTAGTTGCATAGATTTGACTGGAACCGATGATATTCCTTTAAGCGGGGTTGACAGTGTGTGTGTGTATATACAGGGTTCCCACGGTCCTTGAGAGTCCTTGAAAGTCCTTGAATTTTTTTGGTGCTAAATTTAGGTCCTTGAAAGTGCTTGAAAAACGTCTTAGGTCCTTGAAAAACTTGATAGGTCCTTGAATTTGTCCAATACTGCCGGCGGCCCTTTTTATAAAACACCCGCGGATCTTTCTCGTTCTTTCTGTTTTGTTCCCGAGCTCTCTCACGTGGTTTTTAACGCCACCGTTTCTAACCGGGCCTAGCGTCTTGGTGTCTGCCAAGCGCGCGGAGCACAGCAGACAATCAATGCGTTCGGGGCGAGACTCCACTTCATCTTCTGTCGCATATGCTTAGATCTTCTTTTTTCTTATCGAAACTGGAATACTCTCGAATTTCGTAACAATATGTACCTTGTAGTTTTCAATAAATTTGCCGTTTTACCATCCGCACTTGTCCTTACGTTTGCGTCATTTCAAAACTTTATTGTAAAGCGTATTCGCAAAGGCACGGCTTCGTATTTGTGTTATGTAGTTTAGACTAGTTATGCCTGGGAAGTGCTATTTTAATCCCCAATGGATGGATAATCAAGCTTATAAAGAATGGATTTTATCGATGCCCGAAAAGAAGTTCAGAGCCAAGTGCCGATTATGCATGAAGGAGATCGATATCGCGAAAATGGAAGAATCTGCTCTGAAATCACACATGAAAGAAAGGTAAAACAAAAAAGCAGTCTCATGCCCTGAGTTCTCTTTTTCCAAAGACATCAACATCTAATTCATCTGGTGTAAATACTCCTTCAACATCGTGTGCCCCATGTGAAACAGAAACTTTAGTGGCCGAGGTAACATTGTCTTCTTATCTGGTCAAAAGGAATGTGCTTGATGCTGAAATTCTCTGGAGTCTGAAGTGCATCACTAGTAATTATTCATGTAACTCCTGTGAAGGGATTAGTAAATTGTTCTCCAAAATGTTTGCTGATAGCTGTATAGCGAGACAATTTTTTTGTAGTGCCACAAAGTGAGCCTATTTGGGCTCCTTTGGATTGGCACTATACTTCAAAGGGATTCTTATAAATGAGCTGAAGAATGTTGATTGCTACACTGTACTCTTTGATGAGACGTTAAATCAGTCTCTACAATCTAAGCAGATGGACATTATGGTAAGGAATTGATAATAAAGTTTGCACTAAGTATCTTACCTCCCAATTTATGGGTCATGGAACTGCAGAAAATATTTTGTCCTCTTTTTACAAATGCATGGATGATGGTTAAAAGCTCTCTAAAATACTTCAATTATCCATGGATGGACCCTATGTCAATTGGAAATTCTATTAGAAGCTTCAGTGTGAATTAAAAGAGAAATATTCCCACCAGGTCATATTCATTGGCAGTTGTGGATTACACATAACGAATAATGCTTTTAAACATGGTGAAAATGGGATATGTTCCTTCTAATTTTTATTTTCAGAAAGAATTGTTGCTGCATAACATTTAGAGAAGGTTGTGTAAATTATGGATGAATAATTTCAGAAACGATGTTTAATAGAGGAGAGGAGGGGGTTATGGAATAGTCATGGAATATGGAATACCTAAGATTTAGCTCTGTCTTTCATGCAGCCTTCACATGGAAATACACAGGATTAAAGGATTTCACCATTAACACCTCATTACCATTAGTTATAGATTGTGCTGAAAATGATTTTGTGAATTAATATGTAAAACCAGTAGGGTTGTTTTTAAAAAAATATAAATTTTAGTCCATAATACATATACTCTCTTCTCTCTATATAGGCAAAGCATTTAGGTATTATATTTGAAATTAATTATTGCCACAACAAGCATTGTTGCTTCTAGTAAAATAGAAGAGAATAATTTTTAAAATTGGTCTTAGATTAAGGTCCTTGAAAATTTTGTTGAGGTCCTTGAAAAGTCCTGGAAAGTCCTTGAATTTCAATCTCATTATAGAGTGGGAACCCTGATATATATATATAATAATTTTTAAAAACTATACCTAATTATCAATTTTCACAGAATGAGATGCTATTTCAATGGTTTGAAGGGCACATCTCATGCATTATAAATACATTAGTGCTGATGATTAATTAGGTTATAAAATAATTCAAATGTAATGCTTTTTATTTTATTTTAGATTGTGCCTGAAAATTTGATTTCGTTGACTGAAAAATGGTTAACTACTGCACAGTCTGCACTTGTGAAATTGTATGAAGAGTTACCTGAACCTAAACCCAATGATCTTCTATGCCTTATGAATAATTTGCGAATCGATCCTGCAATTGTAAAATATGATCCTGATCATCCAACATTTTCTCTTGCAGATTAGTTTTCATTATCAATCATTAATTTTTGTTTATTTGGTCACTAGTCTTTTTTTTCTGTAGTACTTATTTTCTTTACATTCTGTCAGCACTTTTTCTTATGAAAAATGTGCATTCTGGAAATTCTTTTTCACTTAATCACCAATAAAGTGATAGTATGAGGAAGAATTGCTTTATTTTGTTTAAAATGGAAATATTTTATAAATTGTTTGCTTTGCCTTTTCTCTTTTTGTAAATGTTTATGACTGTTCATTTCATTTTGTGCTACTGTAAATCTTTATTACTTTTTTAATATACATTATTATCGCACAATTGTTTTCTTTATTGTAAGGAGTTAAAACTAGTGAGGTTGTGTAATGATTGATTTAATTATTTTGCATTATTAACATATCAAATATTTATTTTCATTTTACTGCTAGTTATTTTTGTGATGTTCTAATGATGGTTCTTTATATTCTGTGTGTACATTTTTTTAATGGAAAGAGTTTCTTATAAAATATTTTGATAATCATCAAGAATGTGATAGCTTAATATTGTAAAAAATAGAAATATTTTATTATTAGTTATTATAAATTGTTACAGACATTAAAACTAGTTGTTCCAGTAAGCATTATTCTTAAGAGTTATTTTTCGAAATTATTAGTACTACTGTCATTAGCATAATTACTTTATTTAGTTTAGTTTCTTGAAACTAGATCTCTCCCAAGAGTAATTTAATGTAAAATTTTTTTTATTGATTTATGTTTGGCGAAAAAAATTGTAAAAAAGTTATGGTTTTTGCTGTTAGAATAGAAAGAATGGTTTACTCTTACCATTGTCTGTAAATATATGAGAGGTCTGTGAAACTGATAAAAATTTAATTATAAACTGATAAAAAATTTTCAAGGTTATATTGAATAGAAAGGCAATAAAAAAAAATTAAGCTAGTGTTTTATACTTAAAGCTTTTCTCAAAATTTTTCAGAATGATTGGTTTTTTAAATATCTGGATAAATTATCTGGATTAGATCTGGTAGATTATATTTAACACCATTTAGGCAATAAACTCAATATAAATTTAAAATATTTTGGTTTTATAGTTATTACTAAATATTTTTGAATGTTGATTTCTTCTAATTTATTGTAAGCAGTGTATGATTGATCAGATAAACTTTTTGAATTTCATTGCCTTACATGCAAGTACTTTGTCTTCCATAATATTATGTGTATGTTAATGAAATAAAATCTAATAAAAAATTTCAAACTTTTTTCCCCTATTTAAAACTTTTAGTAACATTATTTCTCCAAAGTGAATCCAATTTTAAGACAAAAGATTTAATTTTTATCTCTTAATTAGCAATGGGAATCATGTGAATGATTTATTATCGAAGCAAGTTATTATATCATCCCCTAAAAGGGGAGTCACAGGTTTACTTATATAAATATGTATGTATATACAGTGCCCACACTAAGCATTTGCTACCTCGCCAATTGATAAAATCGTAAATTTGGCAAATAAAGTTGTGTTTTGGTGAATGATTTTTTCCACTGGAAAGAAAAATCTATATTTAACTTGAATCTCAAATGAATTTTTCTAAACAAATCAGTATTTTTAATTTGATTACAAGAATTTTCGGTAGATGTGCCGCATAACCAGTTAGAATGGGTTCCTATTAATATAAGCCTGAAACAAACTACCTTAAAGTTGTTTTCTATTGGAAAAATATTAATCATAAAAAATGTTAAGATTTGCATTTGGCGAAGACTCTCGAAAATCGGCAAATACTTTTGATGTTTGGTTAATTTACTGGCTAATGATTTGAAATCCTTAACACAGAACTTGTATATATATAAATTTACTGTTTTACATTCTTAAAATTAAGAAAACCATGGCCAAAGACTTCAAATTTATAATCAATTTTTCAAGAAGTTGGTGTTGATTCCAAATTCAAAAAGGAATTTATGAAAATGTGATTTTCCTGGATTTCTAAAGATAATTTTTAACATTCTATTTATTTCATTTTATTTGTTAACCATAATTTTTCTAATAGGAATTTTTATTTACAAACTTAGTTGTGATTGAAAATAGTGGGAAATGTAATACAATCTTGATAATTTCTTGATTTGTTTTTAAAAATGTCCCAATTATTTTGGTGGAAAGGGTATATAAGACCTAAATGGCGTGCAGAATATATTATAATGGTTAATAACTTTTGGACATAAATTTCAATAAATTATATTTTAAAATTAGCAAGAAGTTATATATTAGGTTCCATTGATTTAAAAAAAAGAAAAGAAAAAACAATTTAAGCACTTGTACTTTATATGTTTTGACCAATATTTTTTTTAAAAACACTGCTGTTTTTTTAATTTTATGTGCTTCAAAATAAAATTGGCCATCATTTCATTTTAAAGAAACGAAAAAAAATTGCCTTAGTTACAATTAGTTATTGATTTCCAACATTGATATTGTCAAAAATCTCCCCATGTACTTAAAAATCAAAGAAATTTTAGTTAAAAAAAAATTCTTAGAAATATTAAGCGAGAAGGTAACTTATCAAAATTATTTTTACAAACTTCAACTTGCTTTTGAAAATATCCTATCTTTTTAACATTAATAGGATTGCATTGAAAAAAATTCATTGTTCAAAGAAAAACATTTGTTAAGTGGCGAAGAGAAAAAATCCAACACTTTTTTAATGATTATATAACTAATAAATACATTTATAATATATTATGACTAATAAAATGTGTAGGCATAGCAAATCTTTTTGTTTGTACATTCTTCCAAGCTATTTATAATTTATTGCCATTTTATTTAAATATCAAGTAACAAGACTTAGTGATGAAACTATGTATTTAAATTTTTGTACTAGATCAATTGTGGAGTAAAAGGGTTGTCTAAAAGCTTATGAGCCACAATTTTAAAAGATTGCATTATAAATTTATATTTATAAAAAAAACAGTTCTTAAAATATGAATGATAAGTTTGCCAGATATATTTTGTAGGAAAAAAAATAATGTCATAAAACTGACCACCCATAAGCCTTTAGTTAGTTATTAAGATTTTGGCTTTACACTATAAACCATATGCAGATAAATTTTATTTACACAGAATTCCCATGGGTTTGCGATAACAAAAAACCTGCAATTTTCAGGAAATTTGTTTTTGGTACTAAAAGTCAGTGAGAATTTTATTTTTTAGAAATATTTTGAAAATTCCTACAATATAACTGAAAAATAACAAATTTTTGAATTGATAGTAACTGAATTTAGTTATTGAGGTTCAAGATCAGTCTGAAACAATTTTTTTAAATGAAAATTTGCAGTCAGGGTGCATAGCCAAATTATTCAACAAAAAATAAGCACTTTTCAAGCACTCAAAAAATATTTTTAAGCACTTAAAAAAAATATAATTAGGCAGGGTTGGAAAGTTTTTGACAATTGACAGTTTTATCTTGTTTTAACCAACTTTTGGCATTGTTTTAGACAATTGTCAAAAAATCATGTAAAACAAATGGCGTTTTCATACACTACGGATTGACAATATGCCGAAATAGATTGGGGTTGAATTAATTGTGAAAACATTGAATAGAACAATGTGAACTGTGTCTTTTTACATCATTCGAAGGTAGAATCAACATATTAAAGGAAAAATCTCATTTTGAAAAAGGATAAATTAAGCACTTTTTAAAAACACCCAATGAAAAAAGCACCTTAAGGGCTTTTAAAAAATGAAAATAAGTACTTTTTAAAAAAGCTACGCACCCTGGCAGTGTATATATTAATTAAATATGGTTTCAAATTGCATTTAAGCATCTAGAAAAGTCTGGGAATTTCATTTTGGCAATTCAGTAGGAACCTTTAACATGATGTACTTAGAAAAGAAAATGTATGAAAATTCAAAATAAGATTCCATGTTTTTACAAATATTTAGAGGGGAATAACTAGTTTAAGAACAAGGTATTTAATTTTAGATATTTTTTTACTGTTTATATTTCAGCCCATTTTTTAAAAGATATGCGATCCTTTACGTTAGAAGTTTTTTTTTTTTTGTAAGAAAGTTAAAGAAATATATATTTGTTCTAGTCATACGTTCCAAAATTGGATGCTAAGGTAGGGCATTTGGACGTATTAGAACATCAGTAACAACTTCCAAAAAATCTTATTAACACTAGAAAGATTTATTAACTGCTGTACACCTAAAAAGTCTGAAACCTTCCAAGCATTCAACAATTCATTTTAGTGCAGATCTAAAAATATAGTAAAAAATAATTTATTTAAGATATAGTATAGGCTTGACCATTAGAATGCCATTGGATTTTCTTTAATAATTTGGATAATGTAAACATCTGTCTTAATGGAACATTGTGACTTTTTTCAATTATGCATACATTTTCATTGTTCAGATAAATTAGTTTCTATTTTATAAATGATAATAATTATAGATATAAAATATTATTTTTCAATTAATGGAACTGAAAACTTACTCACTGATCTGATTTATTTTAATTTTTTAGTTTTCATAACACTACACTTCTTTTTAAACATATTAGCTGTAGTACAGGCTTGTGTACCATGTATGATTTCTTTTATGTTACTTTGCATTCTCTTCCCTTTTTCAGAATTCTTTTTGAGAGGATGTCATATCTGCTTCTCCACATATTTCATTGTTCAGATTCTTACAAGACATGGGAATTTTAACAGCTACTTGTTTCAATTTAATTAAGGGAATTGTAATTTTTGCTCTTGTGGTTAGGATGCAGAAATTGTGTTAAACACATTATATTTTATTGTAATTTATATTCAAGTCACAGGGAAAGCTTAAAAAAGGAACTGAGACACTCAGGTATTTCTTTCCCACTTATTATGTATATACAAATTTTGTTTTTTAAATACACTGAAAACCTGAATATTTTACGCAATTTTGTTAACAACTTACTTTTAATTTTGTTTCTTTTAAATTTACAATTGTAGTTTGCTTACGTACATCTGTAAGCCTCATGTTAATACTTTGTGGAGCTTGAGGAGTTGTGTAATAAATTTAATTAAAAAAAGTTTAATACGATAACATTTTTTAAAAATTAATATTTTAATTATCAGCTGGCCAGGTACAAAATGTATTCATTTTTTTAGTCAACTGTTTGATTTTTAAAATATGTGAGTATAATCGCGTAACTCTAATTTTAAACGCGTGAATATGAATCACACTGTTTGATTTTCTTTCTCTAATCGTGATAAAACGGATCTTGATGTTGGAATTCTAAATCGCAATGTGTGACGTCTGAATCACAGGAATATGATTCGTTATTGTTTATAAACATCGATCGATGCTGGAGATCGCGAATATTATATGATAAAATGAGTCTTGATACATGAATCGTAATTCGCGGAGAATAAAAGCGAATCTGAAGAAAATTTTATTTCTTTTATTAATAAACGTTACACAACAAATTAATCCTCTTATCAAAAAATTTTAATTAAAGTACGGTTAAGCTGAGGATAATAAAATAAATACAATGAGGATAATAAAAAAAATGTTTATCTAGCAAAAACGAAAACTTTCGACAAAAACGATTATTAGCGAGAAATTTCACCAAGTATGACAATATAATACGAAAGTTATCAGCATTTCCAACTAAAATCTGTCAGGTGACAGATCGCATTGCAGCAACCCATAGGATAAAATTCCCTTTTTCCTTAGCCTTTTCACCCTCATACATTAACAGGGATGAATAATTTATTTTTTTGTGAATTAGAAAAAGCAGGAAGTGACAAAAACCTATTGCTGATTATTTAATACCACAATAAATGGAAATATAGGTGCCTAAGTCTTCAGAGAGTCACCAGTCATTTTAATAATAGTAGCATCTGGATGCTTCGTTGCTCAAAAAAGTTGCATTTTAATTGCAAGTGGCACCCCTAAAATAGCAAGAATATTGTAATTAATCTGATCATTAAAAAAAAAAACAACTTGAGATTGAGTTGAAAGGCGAAGTTTAAACGTACGTCATCAAAAGTGACATTTAGACCTCTAAAAATAATCTAAGTAAATAATAAAATATCTTTACACCTATTTGATAAAAATTCAAGTTTAAATGCACTATAAATCAAGAACAATGTAAGAAATATGTTGCCTGCAACAAAATTGTATGGGTTTGTTTTAAGTTTTGCTAGAGACAGTCACAGATGTTTTATATGTGACCCCTTAGTCACATGACACACATCCAGCCAGTAATCTATTGCCACCTAAACTCGTGTTAAGATATCTGAATAAAGTCCATCAATAGTAATCATTCCTACTTAGTTTTCAACGACACAACATACTACATCAGTAGGAAGGTAAACAAGCAAAATGTTCGCTTTTGGGGAACAGAGAATTCCAAATTCACAGAGCAACATTTCCCTAAGGTAAATGCTGTCTATGTACTAACTGAATACACAAGTGGGCGACCTTTGTGCTAAAATACAAACTAAGGTAGACAACGTTAAAGAGCACAAAATATTATTAAAAGCAGACAGCTGTTTCGGATGCTCAAAGGGCAACCTTCATCAGTGCAACGGAAAACAATGAGAGAACAGAGTAAATATCATATTTACTCTGTTCTCTCATTGTTTTCTGTTGCACTGATGAAGGTTGCCCTTTGAGCATCCGAAACAGCTGTCTGCTTTTAATAATATTTTTGTGCTCTTTAACGTTGTCTACCTTAGTTTGTATGTACTAACTGGTCAATGTGCTGTCAGTGTCCAGAAAGAAAGTTTTCAGTCCTTTTTTTTTTCCAAGAGCAAACAGTCACAAGAGCCACTTTTTTGGTAACATTAACTCTTGGTTGATGCTGTAGTTGCAGGATGACATTAACAACTTTATTCTACAATTGAATGATGCACCACCACATTGGTTAACCTATGTGCGAGATTATCTCCCTCACTGAGCTGCAGACTATATAATGCTTCTAACCCAGAAGTCCTGACCACCCCCGTGGGGTTATAAAAAGGACAAGATCTTCATTCCTCCCCTTTCCATTTATTTAGTGGAGCTGAAACAGCGTATCATTGCCAATAAGAATGGATTTGATTAAAATAACTCAACATGTGTTTCAGCAGAAATGGATTACCAGCTAGATGTCTGACATGACACTAAGGGGTCACACATAGAACATCTGTGACAGTTCCAAACATAACTTAAAATAATTCCATACAATGCTCTTAGAGATAACATATATTTTACATTGTATATTTCTTAATGAATCACCTTGCATTTTTATTAATACCTTCAATGCTAGCTTCCTGCCAGCCCAGTTTGCTTCTCTCATGATTATCACACATTAGCATGAGACAGGCTGCGAATGTGTAAAATAGTCATATTAAAATCCTCTTTATACTGTTTTATTTTTTTTCTTTGACTTTCAATTATTATGATTTGTTTAAGTTTAAATGAATTCATTATTTCTAATTATATACTTATTAAGACATTACATTAATTTAGTAAAATAAGTTTAAAGAATTAAAGTTCTTAATTAGCAGAGCCTTCTCAGCAGGCATTTTTCTTTTCCCCATGGATGTCCGCTTTATCAAAATTGTTCAATTATATATATACATAATATGAGTATATAGTTTAGAAGCTCAAACGCAATTTAGCATTTTTTATTAGTAACAACAGAAAACTAAATACAATGTTGAGCTGATAATGACTGAATTTGAATTCATAAAATATTCTTAATTATGTCACTAAAAGTCATTACATAAATTATTAAACAAGAATAGTACATAAATCAAGGAAGCATAAAATCAAGAAAATAAATATAAAACCGAAGTTAAGAAATGCATTTTCTATCACAATTTGTTTTGTACAAAGTATGAAGATGAAAATCATCATCAGTATATAAGTATTTTAAATAACAGGTCAACTTTAAATGTTTGCATAGCATCCAATACAATTCAGTTGCACTTCTTTATCACAAAATTAGAAACATTACACAAAAAATCTAGTTAGCATGCTCCCATAGAGTTCAGTTACAAGGCAAGGGAAACAAAATATTTTTGCACATGGATTAATATTTCGAAAGTTTGTTTAAGCCATGTCATCAATTTACCTGTAGGTCTAAATTAGTATATATTCTAGTCTGATTTTATCAAACATTATAGGCAGGGCATTGAATAAAAGATGCCCTTAGTAAAAGTTACAGGTATTTATATTAAATTCATTGTAACAGGGCTGGTAAAAAAAGTGGGACCTGGTGCAGAGGTCTTGTGCAGGGCCTCATTAATATTATACTATATATACATTTGTAAGTTTCAAAGATACATTATATAGAAAATAAACAGTATAATAGAATAGAGACATAATACTTTAAGATAATAAATGTCAATCACAATAACCTGCCTTTGAACCAATTAAGAAGCTTACTAATATAAAATATTGCTAATTTTTCAGAAAGCAAATTTAAATAATTGTGACAACAATTATTTTTATAGTTTATTGCAACAGGCCAAATTTTACAAAAATAACTTCAAAAAATATTAACATAATACATACTGAAGGTTATTCTCTCACTTGGGAATTATTGCTTTGGACAGACATCTCAATGAATTATTGACCCAGTATTCCAGGAATGTCAGGAGGAGGAGGGAAAGACATTCTGACATCAATTCTGTGGGGAAATATTGAAGGCATTTCTTGTTTTTTTATAACTTGTGTAATGACTTTGAAAATTCAATCAAAATATTCTTATATTGTAATTAACCTATTCAAAAGAATTACGAATCTTATTTTTGTTCCATAAGTGTACTTCTTAAAAGGTTGGAACAATAACATAAACAGCAGTTAATTCACGATTCTGTTGATATTTATGTTATAAGCACAAAATATTCACTACTTATGCAAAATACTTTTCTATTCAAATAAAATTAACATTACAATAACTTTTTATTGACTTTTAGGATATCAGATTATCTTAAACAATAAATTTAAAGGAAAAACTATTGGTGTTGTGCACTTCAAAAATATAGTAAGGATGGATAAATAGTATGAAGTTATTAAATTAATCTAATTTTGGTTAAAATAATAGCATGGCTCCGTATGTTTTTTTGGGGACAAGCATCAAAATATTTAATTTTTTAAAAAACTTTTCACACAATTATAGAACTTATCTATTGCCACCATTAGTTAAAGAAAGATACTATTAAGTAGCCATCCTATATAAACTTAATTCTCTTTTCATTTGTAAACATCAAGACATTAAGTAAAAAAAAAAAAAAATTGGGGTGACTATATTGGTTCAGTAACACCATTGAAGTCCAAATGTGGCCTTTTTGTAGGAAATTTTTATTTTAAAGGTATTTATAGAATTCTTTTGTGATAACTTATGTTAATTTCTGTCACTAAAACTAAACTGCAAATTTATTCTAAAATTTTTACTGTGAATTAAATTTAAACTTAATTTTTGCTAAAACTTAAAATTTAGATCTGCATTATGCTCCCACCTTATGAAAACTGCAAAATGACTTAATGAGAAATACCTTCTTAAAAATGTAATTTTTATTGATTACCTTGATTACAAATACCTCTCATTTTTATTTTTTTCTGATCCTTTAGAAATTCAGGATATTGAAGTTGTATTAATAGTTAAAAATATAGGGAGAAAAAAAACCCTTCAAACATGACAATTGACTTCAATTAATAAACTCTAAAAATCCATTAGAAGTTTTATTATTCTAGTTGTGTGATGTTTACAAATTTTAATAAAAGAGTTAATAGAAAAACACTGCCCATTTTATAAATTTTTTTAAAAAAAAAGTCCTAATTTAATCCAGCTGTAAAACATTTTTTGAATTAACCCACAGAGGAACAAACTTTACTTTGTTTATAAAATTTAAATGCATCTAATAGGTGCCTAGATGCAAGTCTAACTTACTTAACATAAAACCATAGTAATGCACTAAAATGAAATTTATTAATAATTTACACTCCCTACCTTTCATGTATGCTTCTAATTTATATTAGAAATTTGAAAATAGTAGTAAATTTTTTTTTGCATTTGGGTAGCTTACAAAATTTTAATCTTTGTGGTTTCTCATACTAATGTGCAATAAAAATTAAATAACTATAAGGTCAAGAATATTAACCATTATTAGGTATAATTATCAGCTAATTTAAGCAAATATTTCAATTATGTCTGCAGAGATTTAACAAAAATAAAAAATACAAATAAGTAAACCAGTAATAAATATCTATACACAAAACAATACCGGGAATACTTTTCCTACTTCAATTTTTATAATTAATTTAGTCTAACAATTTTAACATTAAAATTAAATAAACGTGATTGAATAGGAAACTTTGTATTATGCAAGTTTCCTTCAGAAAAAAAAAGAGAATGCATAAGTAGAACTTAAAAATTTAAAAGATTACAAAAAATAAATAAAATCATTACAACTCTCAAATATGAAAAAAGGCACAATAGCTATAATTTAAATTATTGCAAATAATTTTTTCATTTTTAATTTTTTAGTCCTATGTTAACTAGTTCTAAGCTCAAAACTGCATTAATATCTTCAAAAATAAACATGTTCTTGACATGCAATTTTTTTGTAATGGGAAATACAAACTAACTCATAAGTTGACACACACTTTTTAAAGAAATTTTCTTATTTAATATAAGAATATTTATAATTAGTTTAAGAAAATCAGTTAAACACATTTTTACATTAACTATAAAGTTGCATCAATTAATTAATCATACTCTGACTAGGGAGTTTATTTCATTACAAGGAGTAGTTAACTATTTAGAATGACGTCCAGTGATATTTTCTGGAAGGCTTCATATAATATGCAGCAATAAATAAATAAAAAAAAATTACTTCACATACACAGTTCAAATAAAATAAAAAACAAACAAATGTATGATGCAATAATTAGGCCCCATTCTCAAAAACTCAGAAGAGGAAAGAGTATGCTACACAATTCTTCAAAGGAAAAGGAATTATTTTTAAAATAAAAGCTTCATTAGCTGAAACTGTCTTTTGAACAACATAATACAGAAAACAGAATAAACATTTGACACATAGAACTTGTTAGTAGATAAACACGAGGTTATTTTGTTAATTAACAGTATACAAATACATTTTTTACTAAGTAAATTTGATATTTTAAAAGAGAACAAATATAAATAAACCATGAATAACTCTTCTACTCTACCACACTTGTGAAAAGAAAGTACATAAATTTTTTTTTGATTATATATATTTAAACAGATCTTCCAAATTCTCATAAAATGTTTGGAACAAATATTAGTACTTAAAGTAATTTTTAGCAGAAGAAAAATAAATATAAAACAAAATAGAAATACAGTAGGATAAAAATAAGACAAATCAAATCTATAGTTACATATTCAACTGAAACTTTAATCAAATGTTTTAAGAAAAATTTAAGAGCTTTTAAAAAATATCAATATTTTGAATACTTTAGCTAAATACATAACAAGTTGTTTAGATTATCTTTCAAAACAATTAAACTCTTAAGTGACAATTCTGAACTCAGTTGGAAAGGAAATTAACTATTTGTTTTCTTAATTTATACGTTATATTTCCCTCATGATATACAAAGAAGAAATACTGCTCCATGGGGAAATTTGTACACATGATACATACAGAATTAAAAGAACATACATTTTCAATCTGTAGAAGATCATTACTCAAAACAAAAATTACATAAGACAATTTTATCGAAATTTTACTAATTACAGCAACAAAAGCTTTCAATGGAAATAAATTTTTTGAGATATTTTTACTGAAATGTAAGAAAACTGAATATTTTCAAGAAAAAGACTTTCTGATAAGACATTTTTAACAAACAATAACACCATAAAGTAATCACATAACATATTATAATAAGTCAAAACAAAAAAATTCATTCTAGTAAATATACAATATGAATTAAACAAAGTTGACACTAATTTTTTATAACTTAGCACATTTTCAACAGAATCAAAGCTTTATGATACTTTCAATTAATTAGAGTTTATAAATGAATTTCTTCCAGATTAAAATGATATATAGTTTGACTTTTACTAAACTCAAAAACTCTTAATAGATGTGTGTAAAACACTTTTTAGTTAGAAAACTACTTTCTTAAAGAAAAGGAAGTTTAATCTCTAGCTTTTCTTCCAGTGAGATGAATATACAATATGATTAAAATTATTTATTTAATGAAGAAAAATTGTATAGTTTAAAATTATTTTTCAAAAGAACAATGAAAGAAAATTCAAAATGCTAAAAGGTAAAAAATTTCTGAAAATATTTAAGGCAACCAGGAGCAATGCATGCTGTAAACTTAAAAGCCTCAATTGAATGTATTTATATAATTATATTATTGTAGCTATTTTTTAATGAAAGAAATTAAAAATGATGGATGAATACGTCAAGACAATTCCAAAGCATAATCTCCCAATAGCTAATGAAGGTTATTGCAATTCAACACATAAATCTTTAAATACAGTCTATGGTTAAGTTTAATAGTTTAAAATGGGAAAAATTTAAGAATGAAAATTACATTTGTTATTTACATTACAAGGCACATTCTAAGTAGTTATAAAAAAAAATATCACACTCCCTATAAAACATAAAATAGAAACACTTACCAATCAATACATAGAAAAAAAAAGGAAATCAACTAATCTCTATTCAAAAAAGCATATGGGGAAAACAATTTTATTTTTCCAAAATTCAAACAACATAATCATAATTGAATACGTAACAGTACTCAATGCATATATAAACTTGAAAAAAAATTACTGACAGTAAAAATGAGTATTTGAATTCATATTGGAAACTACCAAATAAAAATATAAATATATGGCAACAATATCCACTTCAATGCAGAAAATTAAAAAAAAAATCAAAACTTAATTAATCAAAAGAAAACAAATCTTAAGGGCACTACATGTTTATTTTTTCGGCACATTCAACAAACTTCTATAATAAATAAATATAAACTTTGGTACTAGTAATAAACTTTAATCAAAGTCTCAATTCCTGAAAAATATTAACTTTTTAAGTTTTACTTCAAACAAAAGTATTAACACTAAATTATGAAGTATTTTAAGTTGTACCATTGGAAACAGATGAAGTTTCTTTTGAAATAGATTCAGTTTTATTGGTTCCATTGCTTAACCTATTTGATTGCTTATCTCTTGGCTGCTTTGGTAATGGATGTGATCCGCCATTTTTTAGCACTTTTTTATCATCACCATTCACACATGGTTCAGTAGCACTTTGAAGAGAATTATTTTGTGACCTATCTGATGAAGCTTGTGTAGATAATTCTGAAAAGCCTGAGGCTCTGTAGTCCTCAGTGCCATTGTTGTTGTCCCCTACATAACGCTGCTTTTTCTTCTTCCTTCTTCTACGATTGCGCGAACTTTCAAGAGATGATATGCTTTCTAAAAATAAGAAATTGAGTTATAAAGAAATACAAAAATAAAATAATTATAAAGTTATTATAATTTATATATGAATAATAATTTTATTCAAAGAATAAATATTATTAAGAAGCCCACTCATTAAGAATGGCTTACTATTTAATACAATTTATTGGTAATTTATTAAAACAATTTATATTATGTTAAAGAAACATAATTTATTGGCTCTATCTATTGTTGATAAGTAATACCCTGAAAACATATTTATTAAGCATGTTTACTCTTCCAATGTATTTGCAGTCAATTAATAAATTTGATTCAAGGTTGCTCATATAAGGTATAGTATGGAAATTTTAGAGTGCTCAAAAGTAGGGATGTGCTGCTTGATTATAATAATTTCTTTTATTTTAAAAATATTGATCTAGGATAAAAAATCAGTCTTGTAAGTGGTTAATAATTGTTACTCTAGTGATTCAGAAAATCTGAAAAACGAGGTACCAAGAATCCTATACAATTCCTAGATTCCAGATAGTCGGATCATTACTGTATAAAAAAATGAGCATAAGCAAGTGGAAAAGTAACATGTTAAATATTGCTTATAATTTCTTTATTATTTTGGAAATACACATTTAAAAATAACAGTTCAGAAAAAAGAAAATTTTATATCTATTGCATAATGTATATTTAAAATTTTTTTTTTATTAAAACTGATGCCGCTTTGAGCAGTCTAAACATAATTGCACAAAATTTTCAGGATAATTTTAGAATATCATTTGACAAAATATTAGCTGGTGTAGATATTAATTTCAGAAAATTATTTTATGAAAAGTGTAATTAGAATCATATGGACGAAACACCTTTTCTAACAAACAAAAGTATAATTTATAATCCAATCAAGTGGTTCCAGATAGTTTACGTATCAGCGGCACCCCATGTCTGTGTGTGATTTCTAATTCTATTTCCATGTTTGCTTTGCCCTTTCATTCTTACCACATTATTTTGAAGCATTCTGCATGTATACTAAAATATAATAATAATTTATATTTTAAACTAGAAAAAGTATAAACGTTGAAAATTATGCCCAAAATTATCCCAATATATTTGCTATCATAGTGTGGTTTAGAAATACTGACAATAATAATCTCAGGAATGCAAACAGTGATAAAATCACTCGTACAAGCTGTTTTTGACAGCTTACTGTAGGGGTGCTCAACCTGCGGCCCGCCAACCCTCGATGTGCGGCCTGCGGCCGCAATCTGAACAAAAAATTAAATATTTGTTTTTGAAAAATAATAAAAAACATTCGGTAATTTAAATTTACACTTTTAAGTTTTTGACGCACCCAATCTCAATCAATGTAGTTTTTCGATGGTTAATGCTACGGATTTAAGCATAGTTTTAAAAATCCCAATATTTTGAATACATCATTATTACGATTTACAAATTTTAATTACCACTTTTGACGCTTTTCATATGTGCCGATTCCAATGACTTTTCGGTAGTTATTGCTACCCATTTTCAAGTAGTTCCTGAAATAGCGATTTTTGAAAGTTATGAAACGCTTTATTTGTGCAAACTTCATGGAAAATCTAAATGACTTTAGATCCTTTCTTCAACAGTTATTGCTGCACATTTCTGCCCGGTTTTTAAAACTTCGATATTTTAGCACGATATTATTACGAATCGCGAGTAAAGAATCGCTCATTTAGATAACCATTTTTTGACATGGCTTTTGTAACGATTTTATCGCAAATCAAATTATTTTTCAATCGTTATTTTAGAAATTATTGCTACACATTTCTAAAAGGTTTTGAAAGTACCGATATTTTTTATACGCTATTGCGACATTTTAATTTCAAATCCCGCATTTAAATGACATAAAATTTTGATGGACTTTATTTACTCCAATTTCATCTGAAATATAAAAGTATTTTGGTTAATGTTTTAGTAGTTATTACGTTTTCCCCGTGATTTAAAAAAATTATCAGGTTGGCCACTCAAAACAGATTTCAAATTTCCCTGATTTTTCCAGGTCTTTCAGGTAAAAATCTTAAAATTTCCTGGCTTGTGTGTTTTTCCTTTTTTCTTATAAAGTGTAGGATGTGTACAAGAAAAGTGTCTGTATTATAAAATATCTTATTCAAAATATCATTTTTTTAAACATATCTTGAAAAAAAAATTATTTTCTTACAAGATATTTTTTCATGTTCTGGTACAACATTAATTTTTAAAAAATTAAGACATGGAGAAAATAATATATTTAGCTTGCAGAATATATTGTTTTTATTGAATAATTTTAATTGTTTTTAATTGAATTTAATGTGTTACTTTCAGTAGTATTTGCTCAAAGTGTACCGACAAAATCTGAATAGCCAATAAAACCTTGGATAAGTATTGTTTAATATATTTTCATTAAGGAAAAGAAAACCGTTTCAGGTGATTATATATCAATAATTTTTAATAATTACAGTGGCTCCCAAAAGTGCTCACTCACTTATAACTTAGATTGAAATAGGTAATAAAAATTCAATAATTAATATGAATATTTCACAATGGGTATTTGATAATAAGATGTATAATCTATTCTTAGCAAAACTGCACGGAATATTTTAAAAACAAAGCAAAAGTTAATTTTTTAATCAAATAGTAACAAAAATGTTACCCCTCGAAAGTCAATGGACATTTAAATGTTTTGGATTTCAGAATTAAAGTTATCGTCAATTGCTTTTTTTATTTAATTATTTTTCATTAAATTTTTCATTTCTTTATTAGCAATTTAGTATCAAACCTATAATAGCATAATTATATTTTAATTTTTGCTTATTAACTCCGTAATATTTTATTTTATCATTTAAAAATGACTTGTAGTCGTAATAAAATTGTCTTCATAAGAGGTAAATCAGTAATGAATATGTTAAATTAGTTTACTGTATTTAATTGAACTGTGCAATATGTGATAAAATGCTTAAAAGAAGGACTTCAAATCAGAGATTAAAATTATAAATTTTGTGGAAAAATTCATAAATTTGCAATTGAGTGTTGTAAAAGTTTCTGTAAAAATTTTAAAAAAATATTCTGCACGAATTTCACCTGACAAAAAAAAACTAGTTACACGTATTTTCAACCTTTAAAAGCTATTGTAGATGCTAAAGGAAACTCCACTAAATGTTAATTTAACGAAAAATTAGATTACTAATAGACTGAGTTTTTTCTTTAAAAGTGTATGATGACTTCTGTGGGATAAAGTTTTTGCCCCTTTTTGATGATTGATTCCTTAAAAATAAACTTTTCCTTTGTTTTTAAAATATTTCATATTGTCATTTAAAATATTTCAGATTTGTTAAGATCAGAACATATTTTTTATCATTAAATATACATTCTGAAACATTCATTTTAATTAATGGATAGTCTTATTTCATTGAAAGTCATAAGTGTATCAACACTTTTGTGAATCACTGTAATTACAATTCAATATAAAGCTGTACTGTATACTGCATTATACTGTATTTCATCTTACCAGTGCTTTTTATAAAATTCACTGATCATATTTTCCTTAAACCAATATCTCAAGTCAAATTTTTAAATAATGGTATTTTGAAATAGCATTTTTATTTTAAGAGATTCAGTATAAAAAAATAAATGTGAGAAATGTAAAATCGTCTAATTTTTAGTTTGATACTCTATAGAAGAAAAAAAATAGATAAAATTCCTTAAAATTTATACTTTTTTGATTTTTTTTCTTATTTGAAATTAAAACATTTAAAGAATTCCAATCTAAACACACAGTTTCTTAGTTTAGCATAGTTAATTGTTTTTGTTTGAACAACTGGAATCTTGTACAGTGCAGAACTAAAACACTAAGTTTCGTTTTCCTTCTCCTGACTAAACACATATGAATAAAAAAAATTATATTTTATGCATATACATCATTTAATATGTTTCCTATATATTCCTTAGTCATTGTCAGCTTTTTTAGGTAAAAAGAGGAATAGTTTTGAAATATCATCTCTGGAATGCAAGCAACACTTACTAACTTTCGATATTGTGATAACTATACAATTCGAATTTTGAATAAAAAAACTAATATTTACCAACAAAACCATAAAATTTGATATTAATATATAGATAGTTCTAAAAAAAACTTTTTTCAAAATAAAAATATACTATAAAAGGTTAAAATGAAATAGAAAAAATTAGCATTAATGCAAGAATTGTAACAATTTGTCGACAAAGATTGCTGTTAGTGACGGGGGGAAATGCGTGATTGGTTGGTTTGCTGAGAAAAAATTATTTACAGATTTCTTTGAATAAGAGTTGAAAAGCTTTCAGAAAAAGAGTGCAATATAAAATCTATTATTATTAAATTATAACCAACTAATTTTTAGAGAATTTAATAAAGTTAAAAATACAAAAACATTTTGTCAAAATAGAAAAAAATTACCACTCTCAATTGCGAACAAACTTGAATCATTGTGTGAACACGGACAGAATTTAAAAACCGAATCCTAACCCCGTCTTTCACATCCACCATAATCTTTGCCTTTCCTAAATTGCACAGTCTGCATAGAGATCAAAGGTTTCTACATTTGCATGGGAGAATTTTATGTTGTATTCTAGTTTAACAGGGTTATAATGGAGCAAATTTTGATGAAAGCAAAGTAAGTTGATGATATTTTAACTGTTTGGAGATACATTTCCGTCTAAAAAATGTGGGTATAATGGATGAAACAATTTAAATTAAGAAAATTAGCAAATAATTTAAATTAGTGAAATTAAAAAAATATATAAGAAAAAATTTCCAGCTTTTCTTTAAAATTTCCA